TAGTGAGCGGTGAATCAGGCCCACTAACTGAATGTGTAGAAGGTGGTTTTTCATCCTGTCTCTACTGGAATGAGGAGGAGCTTGTGGGCTGAGTCATCCTCCGCTGCTTTGGACCTCCTGCAGCCATCCACACCTGGGTGCAGTATAAAATGCTGCTGTTCTCAATCAGTAGCAACTTGGAGTTTGTCCGCACGTGGGAGTTGCACTGGAGTAAATGAAAGTGTGATGTTAAACTGGTGCAATTTTGTGTGTGGATATTACTCATATTGGTTTAAATCTGGTTTATGTTGGTTTAGCTGTTATAAAGTACAAGCTAAATCACTATAAACCAGGTTTAAACCAACTTGAGCGTCCATACGCAAAGTTGCCCTGATATATCTAAACAGCTTTAGCTAAATGAGTACAACTTTGTATAGGCCAGGCATTGTATTCACTGTACACAGGTGCAAATGGCTACAAAGGTATGAGGCAGCGAGGACTCAGACCCTGGTTGGCTCCATCCATACTAGGAAATTAGGGACTTATAACTCTTGACCAGTGGCAACTATACTGGGCATTTAGGGTTAGACAGCAAGTGGTAAAAGCGCCTGAGTTCTGTCTACATTATGGTCCAACGGTTAGGGCACTAGCCTAGGATTTAGCCACTGCTCTGCCACGGAATCCGTGAGTGACCTTGGACAAGTCACTTAGTCTCACTCTGTGCCTCAGTTTCCCATCTGTACAATGGGGATGATAGCCCTGCCCGACCTCCCAGGGGTGTAATGAGGATGCATACATTAAAGATTGTGAGGTGCGCAGATAATACTGTAATGGGGAGGGGGGATACAATTATTTGTGTCCTACAGGAGAGGTAGGGTCCCTGGTCATGGCGCAGGCCCCCATTGTGCTGGGCGCTGTACAAACACAGAACAAAGAGACGTCTCTGCCCCAAAGAGCATACAGTCTAAATACCTTAGCTAGATAGATTACTACCACCCTTGGAGCTGCACCACTGGTGGCTGGTTTTCCTCGCAAAGCCAAGGCCCCTGGCACTACTGCTGTCTGCATTTTGATAACGTAACAGGGCAATTAGCCAGTGTAAAGCGTTTTCAGCAGTGTACTAGTGGTTTGGGGGCTTTGCCGAAATCCCCAGAAACCGCCGGGTCTTCTGCTCCTTAATTTGTTGACTTTGGGTTTTGCTCACGTAACCGCAGTTGGCAGTGGTCGCGTTTTCACTTTGCAAACGCTTTAATTTAAATTAAAGGCTGGATTTTCTTACCCACTGAAAGCAATTTCTGAACAGGCCCACAATCAAATCAGTCCTCTGGCCTGCAGGAACCGAGGAGCAGAGCTGGGGCCGCGCCGGAATGCTGGGGCTGCGGGGCAAGCCAGCCCCACCCAGAACCACTGATCTTGAATGTTGCGACGTTTTAGGGGTGTTCGGAACTGAATACAGTTCTGAAACCTGCACCGTTTTTATACTGATATCATTTTCTGTGGGATGGGGCGGTTTACCGAAATAGCTGTACCAGTTCAACTCGTAATGTGGACACAGTTATACCAATAAAAATTATATCAGTATAATTTATTCCCCTTCCTGTACAGGAATAAGCTCTAAGCTTTTATAGCAGTGTAACTGATTGTACTAGGGAGGTTAGATTGTTTTAACGACACCGGTATAGTTAATCTGGTACATCTTTTGTGGTTTAATTCAGGGCTCAATCCAACCACCATTAAAGTCAGTGAAAGACTTCCAATGACTCTGAGAGTTGGATCAGGCCATTGGTTTCCTTGGGGCTAATTAAGGCACAAGGTTCTACTCCCATGCATGGCAGAATCGAGCTCTCAGTGACGCAATTCCATCTCTTATTATAAACAGTCTTCCCACGTGCAGTCTAATCTCACTCATTTGCACTTAGTAGGGCTGCAGGGCCATTACTATTGTGAATGACTCTTTTTCCGAACAAAGGGGTAAGTGAAAAAACAGCAGGCCCAGTGGAGTTACACCAGCGTTGAGTTTTCCCCACTTAAAAACAGCGTGTCGGAGAACATGACCACGCTAATTTAGTTGGACAGCAGTAATTTCATTTTATGTTAATATCTCATCATGTCACAGTCGATGTTCTGTGATATGTCCTGGAAAGCTAACGAGGTCTCAGTAATCAGAGACCTCACCTTGGCTCTCTGTTCCGCAAGCTTTGCTGGGAAGTGCAGATGAAATTTGTTACGCAGATTATGCAGCATGTGGATTAGCGAAGGGAGATTCTGCTGCCATTTGCTGTTCGTTAAGTGTTGCAAATCCATCAGCTTTCGAAAGGGGCTCTTCATGCCCTGTTGTGGCTACCAGGCTGTTGGATGAAGTCCTGTGGCTTCTGCTTCTTTGGAGCCCTCTGCCAGCATTTGCACATGATCTGGGGTTCTACCTCCACTCAGATCCTTCATAAAAGAGCAGCTCTGTTCTTAACGTCTGTGAGCGGCGCGTAGAAGGGGGACAAAGGTGAACAGATGTTTGCTCTGGTTTTATTGTGTCCCTTTTCTGCCCTAGTTGCAAGCTGGCATCTCATCTGCTTCCTCCAAGCCAAAGCCAGTAGCCACAGCCTGCTCCTTTAAATCCCACTTGCAGAGATCCCTCATGGGATTCGGAATGCTGCCATACCTGGGAAGATTGTGGCTATTGTCTGGGATGGGGAAATTCAATTTGTTCCTGCAAGTGTGAGTGCCAATCACTGGCAGAGAATGTTCTCTCCTGGTCAGTCTCAGACAAAATGTGAGGCAGAGAGCCTTGTCTCTGTAGTGAAGCCCTATGCTCAGGGCTCTGAGCTAGAGACAATGGGCCCAGTTCTGCTCTGCTGCACCCAGGTGACCCTGTGGAAATCAGAGGGGTTGGGAGCAAGATATGGGTCTGTGCATCCAGTAGCCAGTGGTCCCTTGGACTGGGTTTGACAACAATTAGTTGGGAGCTGGTGTAGTCTAGTGGTTAGAGCAGAGGACAAGAAGCCGACTCCTGGATTTTATTCCCAGTTGCTGCGGACTGACTGTGGATTTAGTGTAGATGCTGATACCCTCGCTCACCTTCAGTAACGCCGTACTCCACATGTGGTCTGAGCCGTTCCAATGGAAGCGCTCAAGGAGGAAAGTCCTGTTCTGTGTGAGGGGGTCTGGATCTGACCCTTGCAGCCTGAGTGCAAATGAATCCAGAGGTAGGAGCTGCAGCAGCTCAGTCCCTCTGAAAATCAATCCCTTTAACCTCTCTGTGCCCCCATTTCTTGATCGTAAAACAGGACGACTAATACCAACCCATCTCTGTAAGGGGCTTTGAGATCCAGGTCTGAAAAGTGCTGTGTGATAACAGTGTAGGGTGATTGCTATCGGTACTGACTGCTACTCCGATAATGAGGATCTGGAGCCGGTAAAGGACCATGGTAAAGCCAGTTCTTTCCAGGGGCTGACTGGCGATATGAAATCCATATCAGTGTGGCTTTGGGCGTGTCGCTCATACTTTATTTACTAGCGCCTGCGTAACCCCGTCCGTGCTGCATTATGTACGTTGGTGCTTTGTAATAATGTACTCCAATGGGCTTGCTGTTTCTTTGGCTGTTAGAACATGTGGCTGCGTCACACAGCAAAATTAATAGGGAGGAAAGCCTCTGAAGACTGAGATTTAATAGGCTGTTATGACAGGTGAATGCCATTAGGGGGCTATTCATTAACCCGGTCTATTGACACCTGTGAAAGCTTCTCTTCCAATACATGCCGCTCATCCAAATGGATGCTCCACAGGAAACGGCCTGTGGAATTCAAGCATGTACTAGGTGGTAGTGAAGGGGCTAATGCTAGTCTGGTTTTGTGTGCCGGGACTGTGCAAATGTGGCATAAATGCTTCCATCCATCTGGACGTGTATCTGGGGAAGTGGAAGTGCTGTGAATACTGGCCTGAGGAGGATCTGCCTTTGTGGCATCATTGCTCAGTGGCAAGAGGAGACGGAGAGCATTGTGCATGGATGAACTCCATCTCCCGGCACCATATGTCGGCCAGGCTTAATGGCAGCTGCTAGGTGGGCTCTGCCATGTGTGTTCATCTTCACACTCTGCTCTGACCTTGTCTCTCTTCAGCCCCGGAGATGCTCCAGCTGGTTTGCCAAGCCTCCTGCGTACAATCTCACCTGGTCTTAAAGTAGCAGTCACCTCTTATTGGCATACACCTAGGGCGGAGTTGAAATTACAACCACAAAGCCCAAGAATTTAGGGCTGAAATGGGAGCGTGATTGGGACCACCACGGCTTGTGTTCTGTCCAGCTTGTGGGGCAGACAGTTTCTTCTGTCCCCAATACATAGCTGGGCTGGTCTTTACCCAGAAAGGTGGGAGGGGGCAGTTATAACTGAATCACAAAACCCTCCTGCTTCCCACACACACTCAACCCACCAGTGTTTCAAGTTCCTGCATCTCCTAGACATGAATTAATTTTACGAATCCCTAAAACATAGTGAGGTTCTCGCCACCTCAAACTACCCAAGGTTCACTCATTCTTAGTCATGAGAACAGCTGGATAAGAAGAGACCAGTTGCTTACCTAGGCTGGCATCCCATCTCCAGCAGTGGGCAGTGCAGGAAGTTTCAGGGGTATATATACAAGGTCACCCCCTCAAAATGTACCTATTGGCACAATGCTAAACCATACTCTATGGTAGAGGAGGGGAATCCTTCCTGACCCCATCTGGTGATAAACATATGCCCTGAAGCATGTGGCTTGATAAACCCTGATCATTTTTACTAATGTAGAGTCACTGCAAACGTTGTTTCCACCCTTAGTGAGTTGAAATTCATTCATGAGCTATGTCAGAAAGAAGCCGAAGGCTGGGCACAGTCAAGCCTTCAGTTATTTGCCTCCGTAATATCCTGCAGCAGCAACTTTCAGCACTTTGAACTGGTACACAAAGCAAAAGAAGAGCCGTGATGGAGCACGTCGCTCTGTTCACTCCAAAGCCGCTTAATTCCGCCAAACTCTCCTCTGTGTTTTCCAGCCACAATGAAAGACGGAACACGTTTCTGCACCCTGTGACTGGACACATCCCAGAAGAAAACGCAAGATTTGACTTACATTTACAGAAGTAGGTTTGCTTTAGAATGCGTGTGTGTGTGTGTGTGTGAGAGAGAGAGTAATGATTGAAGTGAAGGAACCAGAGGGGAAAAGAACTAATAATACCAAGGAAATATTGAGAGCAAAGACCATGGCAGGGGATCTACAGGCCAGGGAACAGTATGGCTTTGCTGTGAGACGAGGGGCAGCCTTGCTTTGCTATGTATGTATGACACGTCTGTGTGTTTGCACAGTGTGGGCCTCATCCGTGGAAGTCAGTGGAAGGACCCTCTGCTGGTTGTAATTAGCTTTGGCTCCAGCCCTGTGCATAGGGGTGAGCACCATAAGTGTATCAGTGTGTCATACGTATGGGCCGTTATTCCTCAGCTGTCCTTGCAGAGATCTGCAATAAGCTTTTTTCTCTCCTTTCCCCCTCTCTCTCGATGGCAGCTCTACAGTGGACATGTCCAGCAAAGCAGGTGGGAAGCGACCGGCGACCATCAGCAGCGAATCATCCAACCACACCATGGTGTCAGAGATGCCTCAGGAGCGACCAAATGGCAGGGTATGTTCTTGGAGCACTGGACACTGGCCTGGGACCCTAGGAGACCTGGAATCTATTCCCAACCGTGCCACTAGCCAGCTGGATCTAAGCTGCCCCTTATACCTAATGTTCTCATTGCCTCTGGACATCTGAAAGGGCCCTTCTTCTTGTTGAATGGGCTGGGGGTAGCCAAGCACACCTGCCCTGGCAGATGCCTGCTGGTAAGCAGATGTATTTGGCCTGTTGGAGTCGCTGTGGGCACAAAGGCATTCAGGGACGGAGATGGGTGTTTAGGCACTGGACTGGCACTCAGGAGATCTAGGTTCATTTCTCAGCTCTGCCACAGACCCCCTGCTCTCAGCCAAGTGGCTTCCCCGCTCTGTGCCTCAGTTTCCCCCTCTGTAAAACGGGGCCAATGATACTGACCCATCTTTGTGAGGTTCTTTGAGATGTGGGAATGAAAAATCCGGCATAGCAGCGAGGCGATTATCACGCCCCTTCCACACTAAGGGGAAGTAGCTGGCTGGGATCAGAGCATCAGCAAAGTGAAGGCAGCGATTAGGATCCACCCCTGTTTTGCGGTAGGGAAAAGACAGGCCGAGCTGGTTGCAAGGAGGAAGCAATGGCGAGCCTTGGACAAGTAGCTAAATGGCTGAGATTTCCCAAGGGTGATGTGATAGGAGTGCTGGCGGTAAGATGCAGCTCTCCCTCGCCCGCCAGATGGCAGCATTGCAAGGCATCCCTCAGCCGCATGCTCCGTGAGCTGCATGGCTGGGTCTGACTATTCCCCGTGGGTTTGCCGGGAAAGCAAACGCCCCCAACAGCTGCTGCCGCCACCCCTGGGAGAGGCTGTTCTAAAGCCGGAGCGTTCTGAGAGCCTCCTCTCTCCTTCTCCAAAGGCCTCGCGCCCTTCCCGGAAGGGGATCGCCTTCGGGAAGCGCTCCAACTCCATGAAGCGGAATCCCAACGCGGCGGTGACCAAAAGCGGCTGGCTCTTCAAGCAGGTAACGTCCCCCTTGTGCCGCGGCGGGGAGCATTCCCCTGGCTGAGCCATACATCTTGCAGCGCCACCTCCCTCTGTCAGCCAACCCCTGGGCATCAGCAAGGACCGAGGGACGATGTGGTGCCCCAGGCCGCACTAGGACTGGTGTGGGACTGCATGGGGCGTGGCTCTTGGGTGCCCATTCCACACACCTGCCAGACTTCCCCCGCCCCACCCTCTATCTGTCCCAACCTAGCTCCAGTGCATCTGGCTGTGACAGCAGGGAGCGCTGCTGCTGGGTGCCTGCCCCATCTGGCCTGCACCTCTCCCCAGTCACTCCCTCCCGCGATGGCTCCTGCAAGCCAGCACGGCTCAGTGCCACCCTGTGCCCTCTCCTCAATGGAGCCCACCCTGGGCTCTCCCTGTGATGCACGAGATGCTGCGGCTTCCCCCACTCGCTTTCCCCCACTCTGCTTTACAAGCAGCGACGGGTCTGGGGCGCCCTCTCACTCATGCCTCTCTTGCAGGCCAGCTCTGGCGTGAAGCAGTGGAATAAGCGCTGGTTCGTGCTGGTGGATCGCTGCCTCTTCTATTACAAAGGTAGGTGGTGGGGCCGAGGACTAAAGAGCCGTCCCATGGGCCCAGTCCTGATGGGGCAGGGATCCGGCAGCTCCTGGTGCACTTACAGCCCCAAAGCCAGGTGACCAGGGGTCAATCTGGGCAGCTGGGGTCGGATCTCAGAGTCCAGCGTCGGTGAAGAAACCCAGTTTGTTGTTTGAGGCAGAGCGAATTCCGCCCAGCAGGTGGCTGCAGGGAGATGGGTGCGGCCAGTCAGAGGAGGAGTTAAAACCCTCCTCTTCGAAGGGAAGGGTTTGCTGTTACGAGTTGCTGAGGGATCCCCGTGAGGTGCCAAGCACCTTCCCCCTCAATGGGAGCCACGTACGCTCAGCACCTTGCAGGACAGGGCTCCGAGAGAGATAGTACAAGGTGCTCCCAGGGTGGAATGCTGTGGAAGGTAGCTCCATCTATGCATCCTTCGGTTTTTCTGTAGCCTCTTCTCTTACAGTAGCCAAGGTGGGGGGACGGTTGCACGGCCCTCTGGTTAAACACTGTGAAAGGGATCGTGCTTGGTACAAATTCAGCAGCTCCCTGCTGGCTCAGCCGTTCCCTTACTTACCTGGCCCAGATGAGACCAGAAGCTAGCCCTGCCTCTCTCCGTGGGGAGCTGTGGGTCTGTATACCAGAGGCGCTGCTCTTGGCATGCCCCGGATCTGAATGCTCCAACTCCAGCATCCCTGTGTAAATGATTAACATCAGCAAACAAACCTGTCACCCTTTTGCCTGGACCTCCTAGGGCCAAGTTGGCTTTTCGAGCAGCTGTTATCAATGGTGCCAAGAAACAGAGGGCATGAGGGGGGCACTGGCACCATACAGCTGCTCGAGGTCCGTGGGAAACAGCTGCCCCATGCCATAAAGGAGTGACGGAAGCCAGTCCTGAATTCAGATGCCAAATCAGTCCCCAACCTTCTCCCCACCCACCCCCTGGCCTCATCCGGGCTGGAGCACTCCTCGGTATGGAGATTCACCCCACACCTTTTGCAACCTCCGCTTTCCAGCAGGCTGCTGGCTCGGCCTAATCCCTGGCAGCAGGTCTGGAGGGCGGGCATGAATAATTAACCAGCCTGTATTGTGAGCTGTGAGTGATAGGTTTTTGTGGGGGCTGGGGGAGCGGGAGAAGAGAACAACAGATGGGCAGATGCGACAGGGAGGGAGCCGGCTTCCACAGGTAGGCTGGCTCTGGTCCCTGGGCTGTGGTCGCTCTTAGGAGCCCAGCTCCCATTTTAGCAGGAGAAAGGAGGGATGCGTTCCTAGCCAGAGGAGCCTCGTCCACTTCCCCCTCTCCTCGCGCTGCTGCTTTAAAGGGGAGACGGGTCTTGCCAACCACCTGGCATCTCCAAACCGGCCTAAGGAGGGGAACTCCCCCCTCCTTATCTAACGCCCATTTCTTCCCCCTGGGTCAATGCAGATGAGAAGGAGGACAGCATCTTGGGCAGCATTCCGCTCCTCAGCTTCCGGGTGGCAGCCATCCAGCCGTCGGACAACATCAGCAGGAAACACACCTTTAAGGTCAGTGTGTGGCCATGATGGCATCTCGGGGGCAGCGTCGCGCTCCCAGCCGTTGGCCCGGTTCCCGGAGGCCACGAATGGAGCCGCGGTTTGTCGCGCGACCCTCCCTTCCGAGAATCTCGCTGCCTGGTAGGGCCTGACGTAGGCTGTTGGGTAAGAGCAGTGCTCAGAGGTCTCTTGGCTTGTGCTCTCCGCTTCCTGTGGTGACCGGCGCTTGGGGGAGGTGTGAGCTGCTGTGGACGGTCGCTAAAGACAGGCACGTACCTGAAGGGGAAAAATGGGCATTAGTGACCTGGTTGCCTGCTGCAAACTGGGGTCCTTGACACACCACTAGGGGTAAAGACAGAACTGCCGCTGTGTCCTCTCACCGTGCTCAGAACAGGATTAACAAGTCCAGGTCTTTTAGCCTTCCAGGGTGTGACCCAGCCCTGCCCTTTTTGTCACTGGCCACACCTGCGCCAAGCAGGGGGGCATATGGCACCCCCACTCTGAGCCGCCTGCTTTGCTCAGATGTGAAGAGGACCACATGAGAGGTAAAACAGAGGGGAATCTGGTCTCTGGGTTTCCTGTCCAATAACGTTTAGCCAGAACGCAAAGACCAGACCCAGACCAAAGCGCCCCGTGACTTGGGGAGGGAGCTCAGATTGTAGGAGGAATCCTGCTGCTTGTTCCCCCTCTGAAGCTGTCCCTCTATCCGTAAGAAAGATGGGTGGAGGAGCTGGCGTGCAGATCCAGACTGGGTTAGAGCCTGTGTGATGGCGAGTGTCTTCAGCTCCTATTGACTTCAGTGGGAGTTGAGGGTGCTTAGCAGTCTTGCTGCTAATACGGGGTGAAATTGACCCCTGTGCAGAGAGCAAGCACAATAATACCACCACCAAGTGCTTTACACCCATAACTCTCAAAGTACTTTTTGAAGGAGGTCAGGATCGTTACTGCTGTTGTACAGATGGGGAAACTGAGGCACATATGAGGCAAGTGACTTGCCCAAGGTCATCCAGCAGGCCAGTGGCAGAGCCAAGAATAGAACCCAGGTCTCCTGATGCCCAGTCCAGTGCTCTAGTCACTAGGCCACGCTGCCTCTAACTGGAAGCTGTGCGTGGGCCTTGTCAACCCCATAGGTTTAAGTGTGTTAGCCTGCTGCACAAGCGTGAATTGCTCCTAGCCAGCGGTGATCAAAGCATGCTAGTAACCCAATGCCAAGGAGGGGCTTCTCCTTCTCAGCTGACAGCTGTGTGAGGGTTTTCGCAAGCCTTCTACTCAGCCATTCCCCCGTTTTGAGTTACTCTCCCCTGTTAATAAAAACAACAAATGTACGTAAGCCAGCGTTGCTATAGAATCGCACCCCCGGCAGTGCTAGAATTAGGCTGCGTTCAACCCCAGATGTGCAGGAGGGCTTCCCCCATCTCTCTTTTAAACTAGTTTAGACTAGTGTTCACACTCTCTCACACACACACACACACACACACACACACACACGCAATATATTGTAATTGTTTAGCACGTAATTAGTTTCTACTTGTCAAACTTCTGCGCTGAGGGGAGCGGCTGCAACGGAGCAGCGACTGAAGCTGTGAAACTCCTGCTGAGCTGTGGGCAAAAGGAGCCATTTGGTTTTATCCTCCCAAGAGCAGTTAGTGTTACACATGCATGCACACTCATACACGCACAAGCACCGTTGTACACACGGTAGCCCATGCTCACAACTCACCTAGACTTAATAATCTGTCCATTCACGTATGCAAATTGAAATGTGCATCCAACCCATGGGCACTCAAAGACTTAATTTTTTTTCACACTTGTACATATGCATATTCCCACTTGCACTAGCACACAGGCCGAACACACCTTGCATGCAATCACACAGGTGCACATGAACACACACACAAAAATACTCCCACATACAAACACCTACTCACTTGCACCCGTTTATGCTCAACTCTCGCTCAAAGAAAACCCAGCTCGCCCACTGATGCACACAAATGTACACACAGAAACAAAAATCCACAAGTCACAAAAACACACTCCTATGCCGAATGCTTGCACACACACTGCCTTGATTCTCTCCAGCTGGGGACAGAGCTGCAGAGACGCACACAGAGCCTGGATTCTCTGCAGCTGGGGGCAGCGTTACACACGCAACCTTGATTCTCTCCGGCCTGGGGCCGTGCTACACCCACCGCTCTATTTTGTTTTTATTCTGAGGCATTTTTGGGTGCTCGTCACTGGAATATTATTTGCACATTCATTCCTGCTCCAAACCTTATATTGCAACATTCAGCAGAGGGCGAAAGGTCTGCTCCGCCCTCCAGAGGCTCCCTGTCCTATTAATGGCAATAAAACAAGAGAGCAAGGGAAAGAACCTTCAAGAACTGGCAAGTCCTGGGAACATTTGGGTCATTAATAAAGCATGGATCCGGCCTCCTGAACTCACTGCCAGTCGGGTTAACCCCTTCAGGCCCGTATGGGGAACAGAGGGAGCCCGGGTTAGAGAAAATGCGGCTCTGACCCAATGTCAGCCAAAGGGAGAATGAGAGATTTAAGGCTTTATCATGTTTTATTACTCTCCTCAGCCGCCTCCGTCCTGACCCAGGCCAGGGTTTGGGGGAGGTCAGAGAAGCACTTAGCAGCTGGTTTGTGCCCTCACTTACTCTGTGCAGTCCCTTCGGCCTCTGTGGAGCTGCAATGGCTGGAAGGTGCCACTTGGGCGAAGCACATGCTAAATCCCATTGACTCCAATAGGACTCAAGCATGTGCACAGATCAGGGATCGGCAACCTTTATCACGCAGCCCGTCAGGGTAAGCCCCCTGGCAGGCCGGGCCGGTTTGTTTACTTGCCGCATCTGCAGGGCCGCCCAGAGGGGGGGACAAGTGGGGCAATTTGCTCCAGGCCCTGCAGGGGCCCCCACGAGAGTTTTCAGGGCCCCCCACGAGATTTTTCAGCAGCAATTTGGCGGCGGGTCCTTCACTCGCTCCAGGACCCGCCGCCGAAGACCCCAGGCCCCCTGAATCCTCTGGGCGGCCCTGCACATCTGCAGTTTCGGCCGATCGCAGTTCCCACTGGCCGCGGTTTGCCGCTCCAGGCCAATGGGGGCTGTGGGAAGCCGCGGCCAGCACATCTCTCAGCCCACGCCACTTCCCGCAGCCCCCATTGGCCTGGAGCGGCGAACCGCGGCCAGTGGGAGCCGCAATTGGCCGAACCCGCAGACGCGGCAGGTAACAAACCAGCCCGGCCTGCCAGGGGGCTTTCCCTGACGGGCCTCGTACCAAAGGTTGCCGATCCCTGGCATAGATCATGATTCAACAAAGTCTCTAGGGGAGCAGGGCAGGATTTGGGCCTGGCAGATGCCAGCACTGAGAGCAAAATTTACCTCGGTGCATCACTGGAGCTGCTCTCTAGAGCTTGGCTGGTTCCTAGGGACTGTGCTGATCCTTGGTGCAGGAGTGAATGCCACTCATGGAGAGTGTTTACGTTCACGTCCCCCTTTCCACTGGGGACTGGAGAGACAGAACTGGAGCTGGGTTCCAGGTTCCCATCGAAATACAATGCTCTGTCCCAAAAAAGCCATTTTGCATTGCAAAAGAAAAATTTTGACCCACATGTTTTTGGGTGATTTTTGAAATTTTTTTACTGCAAACCATTTTTTTCTCCCTCCCAAAAAAGCCTGAAAAGCTTTTTTTTTTATTTTGTTTTTCACTTAAAAAACTGGACATTTTCCTGGGAAATTTGGATAAAAATGAAAATGTTTCAAAATTTCCATTGGAGTAAATTGACATTTTCCAAACAGCGTTGCACAGAGAACGATTTTTCTTATGGACTCCAATATTTCTTAATTCTGTACGGGGCTTAGGTACTCTGATGACAGGTGCCTTAGAACTAAACTGGGCAGCTAAACAGACAGACAGCCCTTCCTGGGGGCAATAAAGGAGAAAGCATCTCTGTAATGTTAGCTTCTACCGATGACTATGAACCATGGAATTTGAATCTGGATCTAAATTTTCCCAAAATTCCCCTGAATTTTGGATCCTACATTGTGGTTCTAGCCCATGTCTACTACCCAGAGATTCATCCTGATTAGCCATAATGGGAAAAAGAGAGTTGAAAAAGCCATAAATGAGGCACCGGCAGGCTCAGGAGTTTAGAAGTGGCTTACTGAGCCTTTCACTTGGAGGTTGCTGGTTTGAATCCCATCAAAGTCAGTGCTCAAGTGCAGGCTAGAGAGCCTGGGAAATAGGTTTTTTCCATCTCTAGAGTTGCCATCTGATGGCTGTTCTGTCTTTCCCTATGGGGAGAGATTTGGTAGGTCCCAGTCCTGGACTCGGTGGACAAGTATCTGCATGAGTCAATTGACACTCTTGGTGGTGGTCTCATCAGAGAGGCCAAGGAAGGAACAAGCCACAGAGACTGAGCCCCCTGGACCCCACCCTCTGATCTCTTCGAGTCAGGGCTGGGTCACGTTGGCAGGGCAGTGGAGGGGTAACGCGTACCCTGTGCAGAGTGGCCATAAACCCCTACCTCCTGAGTAAGAGGAGATTACTGGTAGTCACGTTTCACACCTACTTTGCACTTGCTGGGATGCTGTAAATGACTGCACAGGGCCGGAAGGGGGAGCAGTTGTCATTGGATCCACTATGTCCTGTTTGAAAAATGGAGATGATATTAACCTATCCTCACAAGGGGGCTGTGTGAGGCTTAATTGATTACTGTGCAAAGTACTGCTGTATCTTTGATCCACACGGGGTCAGTCTCTGATGGCACAATTTGACTCCCAGTGGGTCTGATCCAGCCTTCTTCGCACGCCTAGAAGGCCGGATCAGGCCCGATGAGAGGCTGTTAAATGGGTAGGATTCCATCCTCTGGTTCTGGGCTAACCCAGCACTGAGCGTGTTCTCAGGTACCCTCCATCTGCCCCTCTTTGGTGACACTGCTGCTCCTGCCACGCTCTGCCTGCCTGATGCATCTCCCTGTTGAATTCTCTGCTGGGTGGTTTGACCTGTTCTCTGTGTTTCCTCCTTTCTTCCGCGTGAGGATCTCCCCCCTGGAGAGGAGGTTTCTTCCAAGTGCCCGTCTGCAATGCCAGCACACAGCCACCAAATAGGTAGTATGCTTCTTCCATTTCCAAATGCATGCTGGAAAGAGAAGGGATGCGGCCGGTCGCAGATTGCCCAGCATGCTTTATTCACCTCCACCCGACGAAGGGGGACGAAACATTGGGGTTTATGTCTCTCTCTTGCGGATTGCATGCTTAGATCTTCCTGGTGTTCCCTAGTTGGGAACTTGGTGGAAAGACCGAGGTTTGTATGAGCCTGGCAGGAAAGATTCCTCCGGGGCTGGGAGCCCTTGACTAGTAACAGCAGCTGGTCAAAAAATGTTACATATTCCCCCAGGGGGGATCGATTAGAACACAAGGAAGAATTTTCCATTTTGTTGAAAAATTTGGGTTTTTTTTGGCAAAACAAACGTCCAAAGTTTGTTTTTCAGTCTTTGGGGTTGGTGGGGAGGGAAAGAAGGGGGGAGGGAAGGGGAAACCCAGAGAACCAAAATAATCTTTGGGATTTTGTACTTTTTTGTCAAAAAAACCAGAAGATTTTGACCCAAATGAACATTTCTCCGTAAAATTGGTTTTATTCGAAAAGCCATTTGTCATCAAAACCATGTACCAGTAAGAATGTTTTGACCAGCTCTGTTCTTATCTTACCATTGCCAGCTGGCTCCTTTATAAGCTCTGAACATCCGCGAAGGGGACATGCACTGACATTCGCGGCCAACCTGCAAGATTTGCATCCAGATTTGCAAGGAGCATTTGCATCTGGGGTTTGGCTCAGGGTAGCATCCTGCCGCTTCCTGGATCTGAACTCCCTTGATGATCAGCTGTTCGGATCGGGGAGGTTTTGATTCAGGCCCGTCTATAGTTGAAGTTGTGAGCCGGATGAGCCTGGATAAATCCATTCCTGATGGAACATCTTCCTCCAGTTCAGGATTTACCTGTGCCTGCCCCAGGGTAGAGCCTATATTTGTATGCTGTGATAACTAGCAGATCCTGCTCTGGTACAGAGGGGAGTAGTAACAAGACTAGGAAGCGGTAATAGTAGTCTGCAGAGCTGGACTCCACCCTTCGGAAGGGATCAGGAGTGTTTCGAGGTGGGTTTCTCTGCCCACTTCTGCCCCTGAAACCAGAAGTCCTAAAAATGCTCTTCTCACTGTTCCTGGTCAGGGTCAGAATTGTGAACTCTTGTTAAATCAGGGCTCCGGTATTGTGCGGTGACTGCCCCAAGTCCTGCAGCGTCCCTGGTGCAAGATGTCCTGCTTGGATCAGTACTGCAGAGTGCTGTCGTGTTTTATGTTTAATAAGGGTTCCATGCCAGGAATTCCCAGAGGGGGCCCATTCTGCTGCGGTTTCCCACATCTCAGGGTATGGGGAGAGCTTATGATAAGATGGCGCTCATCTGAACCTTTCTAGATCCCGCCCATCACTAGATATGGGTCTCCCTGAGTCAGTGAATCCAAGGGAAAGAGCCTTGCATTTGCTTTGTGTGCCTTGCTCGAATGGGCTGTCGGGAGACCCCTGGCGATGGCATGTAACCCAAATCTGACCTCTCCCGATGTCCCACAGCATTGGGTCATTTTCACCCGACTGGCCTGGGGACGGACCTGACGATTTGATGGGTATTTCTCCATCTCTCTGACCCTGTGGCGGGGGGTGGGGGAGAGGGGGTAGAGCTGGCGCTGGGGGAGAGCTGGCACGGTTTCACCTACAATTCCAGGCACCCTCAACTGGACGACTGACTTCTCTCTCCTCTCTCTGTGTATGCACTTCTCTCCCTCCCTGCAGGTGACTGTGTGCTGGGTGGAGGAGGCCCTGGGGCGTCACACGCAGTCCCTCTCTTCCCAGGCCGAGCACGCCGGCATCCGGACCTACTTCTTCAGCGCCGAGAACACCGAAGAGCAGGAGTCCTGGATCCAAGCCATGGGCGAGGCTGCCCGGGTGCAGATCCCACCCCCCCAGAGGTCAGCACGACAGGCACCTTATGCTGTGCAGCAGTTGTCAGAGACTCAGGGTCTCTTTGGAGAATTGGGGGGAGGGGGTCCTGCCTCAAGTTGGGGGCACATTGGAGGATACAGTGGCTATTAACTTGGGGGCACAGTTGCTAGATAACTTGGGGTCCCTTTGGAGATGAGGGGAAGTGGCCATTAACCATGGGGTCCTTTCAGCACTTGGAGGGGCAGTGGCTGGAAAACTGAAGTCCTTTGGAGCATGTAGGGTGTACAGCAATTTGGGGGACACGTCAGAGCGGAGAGGGTCAGTAACCATCCACTAGGGCGTCCAGGGACTGGATCGGCCCCACTGTCCTGGGATGATTTGGGCCCAGGGTTGCTGTCCAGTGGGAGGTGACGCTCTGCGTTTCTGTGCCTGGCAGGCGGGAGAAGACGGACTCTGAGAACATCCCCCCCAGCAAGCACCACCACCACCGGACCACTGCTCACAGGGAGCACCCCAAAGCAGACCTGGAAGCCAAGACCAGAGGGGAGGGTGATGGGCGTGGTTCAGAGAAGATCGAGAGGAAGTTGGAGAGGATCGACAGCAAGAAGGAACCCCTGGTGAAAGCCAACGGCATTGTGGGCCAGGAGATGCCATCTGAGCCCGGCAGCCCTTACCCTGAAGCCCCACGGTTTCCAGCTGGGGTGGAGAGATCCACGCAGCCCAACGGCTGGCAGTACTCTTCCCCCAGCCGCCCCGGCAGCACCGCCTACCCGCCGCAGGATGGGGAGAGCGTGGTGCACCGTCCGGGCTTTGTGCCACGCACCAACCCGGAGAAGATCGCCCAGAGGAAGAGCTCCATGACGCAGCTGCAGCAGTGGGTGAACCTGCGCCGGGGGGCTGCCCCGCCGGAGGAGCTGAGGAGGTGAGAGGGCTGCATGGTGTGCCGTGCTGGGGTTAACATAAGGGAAAGGGCAGCAGATCTCCTCCTCTCCCTGGCAGAACAGCATTCCCATCCTTCCCAGCTGATGGGGGGGAGCGTTCCCCCTCCTGTTCTCCAGCCACAGGGACGGGGGTTGGGCCAGGAAACCTCCACCAAACCACGTGCTGCTGGGCCATGCAAACCAATAGGCCTGCCCCCCAGGACCGGGACTAGGGGGCAGTGAGTTTGGAGCGTGGGGAGCAGCAGCATAAGCAAAGGGAGCCAGGCGGAGATGCGATCACGAAGCCTAGCTCACTGCTGCAGCCTGCCAAGTGGCGTAGGGGAGCAGCTGTGTGCCAGCCATGCCCCGGGGAGGTGGCTGGGCAGAGAGGAAAGTCATGGCCTAGGGTCTCCTAGCACCGACACTGACTCCAGTTAGCTTCCTGAGGCGGCTGTGTGGGCCCCTGCTCTGAGATCCGAAGGCTGGTGCAGTGGGGAGCGGTCAGTGTCCGAGTTCTAGGAGATTGCCCTCCGGATGGGGTCCAGGGGTCTGTCCCATCGCCGGCAGGGGATGCCGCACTGCTCGGCACCTTGGGCGTCCCTCGCAGGATCTGCCCTGCCAGCAGGTGGCGGGCGGACACCGGCCCATCGGCGCAGGCCTAGGCTGTGGCTTTCCCATTGAAATCCCGATGGAGTTGAAGCGCTGGATCCAGGTTTTACGATTCTCTCTCTTCCTTCCTTGGGGGGATTGTAGCCCCACCAGGTTTTTCCCGATGTCTCGAAGGGTCCCCGACTACTACGCCCCTTACTCGCCCCAGTACCCTGAGGATTACCAGTACTACCCGCCCGGCGTGCGCCCTGACAGCATCTGCTCCATGCCCGCCTATGAGCGGGTGAGCCCACAGTGGGCTGCGGAGGACAAGCGCCACTCCTTCCGCAATGGAGGCCCCTACCAGCTGCGTGAGTGGAAGGAGCACCCGGGTTACGGCAGGCAGGACGTCCCCGTCTGGATCCCCGGCCCCGGCCGGCAGCCTGTGTATTACGACGAGGTGGATGCTGCCTCGGACTCCCTGCGGAGGATGTCCCTCCAGCCCCGCTCCAGGTCCGTGCCCCGTTCGCCCAGCCAGGGCACCTACAACAGGGCGAGGATGTACTCCCCGGTCAGGTCGCCCAGCACCCGCTTTGAGAGGATGCCATCCAGGAGCGAGGAGATCTATGCTGACCCTGCAGCCTACATGATGAGGCGATCGGTCAGTTCCCCAAAGGTAAATGCCTGCCCTTTAGAGGAACAGCAAAGGGGGCTGCAGGTCAGGATCGAGGGGCACTGGCAGAGCTGGATGGGGGGAGCCCAGGACTGGAATAACAACGGTCTGCAGGTCAAGATTGCAAGCTCAACTTGCACCCCCGCTTGCACTGTGCCTGGCTCAGGGTGCGGGGGTTCGTTTAACTCCTTCATGACTGCTCTGCTTGTGCCAAATGTCCTTGGACCAGGGCGCTGGCCTTCAGAGCTTCCTCCTGGCCTACCTCCTCTGCCTCCCTGTGAAGATACCCTGCCAGGTTATTTGTGTTTGTTTCCTTCCTGCTTCTCCTCATAAGATGAGCAAAGAGGGCAAGCCTGTCTCAGAGCGCCAGGGCAGGGGAAACAGGGGGGAGAGATGGTAATGCTCTCCGGGGCACAGGGTAATTCGGTTATCTGAGCCATTAGAGGCTTGAGGAGCCTTTTCTGGGTTTCCCTGACAGTAAGCGCAGGAGTCTCCGGATGAGACAGTGCAAGGGAACCTGGCTGAGCTGTTGTACAGTCAGAGCGAGAGATGAGCCCGACCCAAAACCTGGATCCAAACACCCCTGAACTGTAGAACTGGGATCTGTGCCTGAACTCAGACTTTTAGGCATATCCCCTTTTCCTTTCCTGCCACCTTCCCCACTAGAAAATCTCCTCCTAAGAAGAGGCATGGTGGGACTGTCCATAAGGCAAACAACTGGGACCAAATGAGTTGGGTTCTGCTCCCAGCTCCGCTACTGGCTCACTCTGTGACCTTGGGCATGCAAGCTCACTGCCTCAGCTTCCCCATCCCTAAAATGGGCATAATTTAAACTGAGCGAGCTGAGATCCAACTGCGCAGTGTGAGCAACCGCAGTCAGTTTATGGAGTGGTATAAACATCTCACATGTCTCGGCGGGGGGGCGGGGGTGTCTCTTCTCTTCTCAGTATGATTATCTGGGTGACAGGAGGCCCGTCCCTGCAGGAATGTATCCCTACAACTACCCGGCGTCCCCTACAGTCCACGACAAAATGGTATGTGCTGTCGGTGTCCGGGCGTTCCATTGCTGACCGTGTCTCTCCCGAGCTGGTGGGAGCTGCTGGAGTCGGGGATAAAGGAAGTGATACTGAGATGCCTGCTTTGCTGGCGTGGGGCTGGAAGTTTAGAGCTTCCTGAGATTACCAGTGTGTGTCCAGCCAAGGGGCATGTGTGGCAGCTGGGGTGTATTTCCCTTTCCTCTCTATTCATTGCACCGGACGCGCTGTGAGTCCATCTGCCCTGGATGTGCAAGGAGCATAGCTGGGACTCAGACTAGACTGACTTCTCATCCGCGGGGCGGGAGCAGGGAGGCTGGGGAGTGGGGTGCATCTATTCTTGGAAGACTGAGGAGGAAACCGATCTGCTCTGAGTCCTTTGCAAAGATCTGAAGGGGATGCACGATCTGGCATCGGGGGTGCCGTTTGGGGCTGGGTCCAGTGAACCCCACATGGAAATCCGCTCCCACCTTTCCCCAGCGCATCACCGTTCCCGCTGCAGAGTGGTGTACCCACTGGAGCGGAGGGTGTTGGAAGGTGGGCGTGTGTTACCTTGGGGGTACGTGCCTACCCTAGTCCAGGGACTCATCACTATGAAGCCCCTCAAGGAGTAACGAAGGTGCACAACTGCTTGGAAATCCCAGCTCCGGACGTATCCTATCACCTTGCTGTCTGGTTTTCAGCTGGGGGAGTGGGGAAGGGGGGTGTGGATGCGAAGGATGGATCGAGCCCTCCTTTTCCTCTTTCTCTTCCGTTCCCAGGTTTCGGCTGCAATACCTGCTTTGCTTTGCCCAACCAGCCTGAGCTTTTCTTTTTGATTTGGGTATTTTAATAAGTCAGGGGCAGCAGCCAGAATCCACTTGCCTGGGCTGGAACCTCCAGTCTGGGACTTAACCGCTCTGTGCCAGGGCCTTGCTCTTTCACCCGGGAGAGCAGTGGGTAGACCCCAGACTGGACTTAGATGCCCCACGGAATGGACTTGAGCCGCACCCCTGCTGCACGCAGCTTCTCCCCCTCACTGCTCCTGTCTTGTGGCCTAGCTATTCACACCGGATTTCATTTTGATCGGTAAATGCATGAGGCTGAGCTGGAAGCGTGTGGATGGAATCCCGGCGCCATTGAGCTGATCCAGGAACCATGTCAAAAAGCCCCATTCCCAGCTTCCGGTGCTGTGGGGCAAAGGGGCAGTGAAAGCATCGAGCAGTGGGGTGTGTTAGAGGAGCTGCTAGCTGTGGCAGCTCCCGTCCCTTGGAGCGAGAGTCACCAACGGCAATAATGCAGGAGCCCTAGCTGCGTGGAAGCTCCCAGCTACTGCAGACCCTAGCGGAAGGCGATGCAATGCTGGCTGTGGGGGGAGTTCCTAGCTACTTTGAACCCAGCTTCTCCCTGCAGGAGGTGATCTGGGAATGGGGAAGGAGCATTGCCTGGAGGGGAACTCTCATTCACTGCAGTCCCAGCCCCACCCAGCGGGAGGCGCTCTAGGGAATGGGGCAGGAGCACTGGCTGTGAGGGAGCTCCCAGCAGGAGCCCCTGTCAGGAGCACAGAAAGATCTCTTGAAAAGGCTGCTCGTGCTAAGCACTCACCGCCAGTCCTGCTTTCGGAGCGGCTTAGCCACAGGAGGCAGTACTTGGCCTCCCAGCCCGAGAGCTCTTCGCCTTTCTGCAGCCTTCACCTAACCGCTTTGCTTCTTCTTTGTGTGTTTGTTTGTGTTTCCGTTTTTGCTGCATGTCTGTTGGCTCCTGGTAGGATGAACTTTTAGACCTTCAGTTGCAAAGAAACCTAGAATATTTGGACCAGCAGGTAGGCAGAGCTGGCCGCGAACGTCACGCTGCTCATGTCCCCTCCTGCCTCTGTCACTGCGCCATCTCCCCTCTGCCTTCAGTACACTGTCATTCCCTGCCCCTTCCCTGAACATCCATTCTGCAGCCTTTCTTGGCATCGCGGCAGCATAAGCCATCTTTGGTTTGCTTCCTCCATTCTTCCCTTCTGCAGGGTCGCCCATCACTTGACTGGACAAATGCCTTCTGTGCGTCAAATGACTGCGAGGTACCACACCAGAGTCAGCGGTGCAATGAATGTGTGTATATTGAATGCCCCTACACGCTGGTGCGAATCAGGAGTAACTTGAGTTGGGTCACTGGAGATTGACTGGGGCGAGTGGGAGGAGAACGTGACCTGTCCAGATGTGATTGGATCAGAAAATGGGTGTGTATGTAAATGTAAATTTCACCAGTCTAGGGCCTGGATTCTCCTTGCACACCCATGTGTCACTAGTATAACTGCACTGATTCCAGTGGGCTCACTCCTGATTTGCACCAGCGTAAGTGAGAGCAGAAGCTGGCAGCAAGCCAGCACAGATTATGCTAATGTGGGACCAGATTCCATCCCACCTCACTCATCCTAGTTCCTTACTCTTCTGGGAACCAGTCCATGGGTATGGCACGACTCACTGGAAGGAAGGGGAGCAGAAACTGGCCCTCAGTGTCTCCACCTGCTCTGGGTCACCCCTGAATGTGGTTCAGTGAATTCTCCGGGAGCCGTGCATCTGCTTACGCTGGGTCTGATTGAGTGTACGGAGGTGGCAGATCGTGGAGTGCTGTGGGTGGGAGGCAGGTAGTTTTCTGGGATGGGTCAGCAGACTGTTTTCGGACGCGATACCTTCAGGAGGGGACAGCCAGGCCCTGTGTCCCGTCCAGTGTAGGAAGAGCACTGCCTGATTTGGGTGCTCATGAAGAGTTCTGGACTGACAGCCCAGGAGAATGAGCCCGCCCTGCCCACAGCACAGGGACGGTTTGGCCAGCAATAAGGCGTGTGCTGTCCCTGCCAACAGACCTTTGATCTAGCGGGTCAGCCTTCTGGGGGGGAAAGTGGCTTAGCCCATCCTCGACCTCCGAGCTGAGACACCTGCTCTGAGGGGGAAGGAGCCAGGGGAGACGGTGCTTGGAGTTCTTAGTCCAAGCAGCTAGAGATTGTGGGATGAACATGGGGCTCCTGTTACGTCCAGGCTAGGAGTGGACCACTAAACATTTACAAAGACCTGAAGAGCATTGCCATACGGCTGGGTGCAAGTATGTGATATTCTGTGTGTGTGTGTGTGTGTGTGTGTGTGTGTGTGTGTGTGTGTGTGTGTGTGTGTGTGTGTGTGCGCGCGTATGTGTGCAGGCTCTTGTTTGTGTGTTGTTGAAGAGGGGCAGAAATTGGAGATAATTGTTAAGAAATTCAGGAGCATAAAAACTAGTTCCCTCTCAGAGGTGAAAGACTTGATGCAGGTCTTGGGGAAGCATCATCCTTTTCTGATACAAGAACCAGCCCGGACGAACATCCCCCAATCCTTGACCTGAGCCAAACCTCCACTGCACGGGAGGGTGTGTTTGAGGCAGGTTGTAAACTCCACATCATCATAGGAATAGGGAGGGGAAAGCCTTTTGGGGAACATCTGCAGGAGCATCGAGATGAACATTACAGATGAGGCGTGAGATTAAAAAGGGAAAGAAAAAGAAATTCCCCAGGCAAGTGCTGCAGCCTGATGTTTGCCTGCAGAAGTCTGTATTTCAATAGGGAAGCTGCTCCAGACCCTGAGTCATATATGCCCATCGGTAGAGTACTCCCCGAGGTGTGTCTGTCTGGCTTGGAGCAGAGCCAGACATGAGCGAGGAGAAGTCAGTAAAATAAAACGCTCTCCAGATTATTTCACAGCCATCAGCAGCAGGGTTTCCTCTCGTGAGTTCTTTGAAAATGCTCCCTCAAAGGCTTACTGTCTCCTCCTCCTTCCCGACTGACCTTTGGAGAGACTAATCAAGTGTCCCTTTAAAGCACTGTTTGCTTCTTTATTTTCTCATTCCCTGTTTGTCTGGGAAGCTGGAACGGAACATCTTAGACATGATCCTCAGCTAGTGTACGCTGACGCAGCGCCATTGGCTTCTGTACAGCTACGCCCAGTGACATCAGTTGAAGATCTGGCCCTTTGTGTGCTAAACTGACCCCTACCCTTGTGTGGGTACTGGGGGAGCATGAAAGGAAAGGGACAATGGCAAGATTTTATGGTGCAGAATTAGATCTCCTAATTGTGGTGTTTGTCTGGTTGTTTGCAAGTCCCTTTAAATGCTGGTTACATGGGGATCCCACTCCACCAAAACAAACAAAAACATTAGTGCTATTTGTAATTTTAAAAAGAAAATAAGTCCCAGTAGCCAAGTACTAATGACCATCCCTACAATAATAAGCTAGCTTGTGCAATCTTCCCACAATACGCGCCTATGTGGTGGGTAACCCTACAGTCACAAACTGGTGGGTGAAACACTACACTTGCAAACTGGAGTCTGCCAAGCTTCCAGTTTGTGCAGCCCTGAAATAATGAACCAAGTTATCCTCGCCCTAGGGAGAGAGGGGAAACCCAGCAAGATAAGAGATTTCAGTTTTAAATTTCCAAGCGGTTGTTATGAACAACTGTAAGAATGTCGTCTTAAAGAATCTGGTGCATGTACTTTTGCTTCCTTTTATTCTATTCAGTGGGACTATCGAGATATCCCCTATCTAGGTGTTAGCAGCATCATTCTGGGGGTAGTATTTATTTATTAATATGCTCAGACCAGCAGAGGGCATATTAGAACCCATTTTTTAATATGTGGTTCTGACATAAATGGTGTCTTTGTTTATCTTTTTATTTCGCAATTAAGACTGGTGATTTTTAATTTTTTTAAAGGAATATGTAGAATCCTGAGACTCTTGCTCCCCAGATAATAACACTCTTAAAGCTCCACAGGCTGAATTTTAGGCCTAAAATTCCTTTCAGCTACTCCTAAATAGTTCCAGCGTTGGGATCTGACTCTCTTGGATTCAGTCGACATGTGTCCGTGACTGAGTTGGTTTCCATGTAGCAGGGTGGAAAGGCTCGTTTCTGCCTCGCACATCTCAACTCTCCATTCATTCAAGGCCTGTGGGGTATAGCAAACACTGCAACATAGAGCAGACTCCAGCTCTGAGGGCAGGGCGCTTCCTTCTGCAGCGCCACCCAACGTGCCATCTTGCCCCCAGGCAGACCATGCACAGTGAGCGATGGGGTGGGGGAAGTTAGTGACATAGGTGTGGTACAATACAGGCTTTCCTTACCAAGAGACCCTGAAAGATTCCCCGTCGTTCATGGGCGTTATAACCCTGTGCAGCCTCTCCAGCACTGCAATAATACCCTCGCAGTAGCGTAGATGTTAATGGAAACAGAGCGGCCGATCCTGACCTTTGGAACTAGAGCCATGGGCTGATGTGAGGTCAGACCCTGCTCCCGAGTCCCGATGTAACTGTTCTCTGGGTGCATTCAGCTCAGCAGTGAAGAGAGAACTCTGGCTCCATCCTTAGCTCAAGGCTCTTGGAGAGAAAGTCCCTGGGCTCCATCTCTGTTGAGGACCTTGGGGAGTCTGTCTTCTCACGGTGCGAGGAATAGCTGCAGACCATGAAGTCTTGTGTCTAGGCTCACAGCATGGGGAAGGAAGTACGCCTGCAGCCTCCTGTCTTTGTAGAGTAGATCCGGGAGGCAGGGGAATTTTAGTGACCGTGTGGGACACGTGACCTTTGGTCTATCCCCCAGGACGGTGGCTGTGCAATGCGCCTTGGTGCCAGGCTTGCCTCTTTGTGGACAGTAGGGTGGCCTTCTAGACCAGCTCACTTCTGACTGGTGAAGGTTTTCCTCCGTCTCTCCAGAGCTTTGGCTGGTGGCCAGGCGGGGAGCAGAGCTGACTGCATAGAAACTGGGCAGCGATGGCCCAGGTGCGCCAACCCTGCAAGTGGCTGAGCACCTCCTGTGAGGTCCGGTTTGCTCCTGGCGCCCGTCAGCTTCCAGCAGAATTGGTGGCGCTCAGCACCTTGCAGCACGAGGCCTGAAGAGCCCTGTCCAAAGCCTCCCTAACCGATGCCGAAGATCACCCCGTACGATGTCATGAACGTTCATGCTGGAACCGAGGGAGAATCCGTGTCTCTGCTGACATCTGAAATTTCCTTCCTTGTCTGTCGCAGATGAGTGAGAGCGAAACTTTGATCAGTATGGTGAACAGAATGGTGGAGAACTCCTCCCCTAGGGCCCAGCTGTACATGCAAGTAAGAAACCACAGCAGCTCTGCCATCGACAGTCCCATTCCAGCTGCTTTTGCATGGCAGACCCATAGTCCAGCCTCCTCCCACGCACGCAGTTCATTCGGGAACGCGCCACCCCACATCTCCGCTCATTGCAATGCCTCACCCGCCTGTGATAGCTCCATCACAAGCTTCGCTGGGACATCCATAAGCCATTCCAAAGCCTACTGTCTGAAGGGACATAGGAAGTCCTGAGTTCTAATCTCCCTCTCCCATCAACTCCCTGGGCAGCCTTGGGAAAGACACTTACCCTCTCTCTGCCTTGCAGCTCCCATCTGTAAAATGAAGATGATAAATACTTTACATGTCTATGAGGATTAATTAGTTAAAGACCCCACCGCTGCTGGATATCAGGTTTAGACTTGGGGGCACGCACTGTCTTTTTGTTCTCTTTGTACAGCGCCTAGCACAGTGGGGTCCTGGGCTGTGACTGGGGCTCCGGTGCACAACAATAATACAAATAATAATAACCCAGGGTCTTCATCTCCAAAGCACAGTCCTCTGTCCTTTGAGCTGGAGGAGCAACCCCATTAGCTGGGAGCAGAAATCGGCTTTTATCCTTTCTGAGCCACCAGAGGGGGGATGTGACACACCCAGCAAGCATGTTACTTCTGCACAGTGCTTTGTATACAGAAAGTGCATATAAGAACTAAGTATTATTATTGTTTCCTCCTGTAATTCCAAACCGCAAACGCACGCCAACCAGGACCCATTCATAAAAGTCACATCAAGGAAAGCTTAGCATCACTCATTCATGTTTTCAAAGCCTCATTCATAGATCTGCCATCTGTGTTAACCGAACTCACTTTTGCTGAATGCTTCCGATGTATATTTTCCAGACGTTTGTACAGAACACAGTGGGCTGTTGATGGACATAGCAGTGGTCAGGCAGGACCTTAGGCAGGGCATTGGTCAATGTATGTAGCGCTAGCGCTGCACTGGACCCCAGGGCTGTTCTGTTCAGCGGAACCTCCTGGTTGTCTCTCTAGGTGGGCTGTTGGGCATTTTATGCTGCATCGCACTGAGGAAGGGATAGCGTTGGATGGAAAAGTGAAGAAGTTTGTACCCAATGTGTAAATGGAACGTGCCCCCAGCTGGGAAGGAGGGTGCAGTCATGGAGGATTGAGTACAAGCCTGGGACTCAGAGGAAGTCCCACTGGCTCTCCTGTCCTGCTCTGAGACAGCAGGCTCCCTTGGGCCAAATCCTGATCTCGCAGGATCAGGACCTATTTGCAGCTGTGGGTCTCTTAGACAATGAATTGAAGTCTCCTCGCATCCCGTGTGCCGCCCTGGGGAATCACCATTACTCTAGTTTTCCAAGGGAAGGAAAAGTTTTTTAGAGTAAACGTTTTCAGAAGTGCCCACTGACTTTGGGGCCCCATGTGAGACACCTTAGGCCAGCTTTTCAGAGGTGCTGGGCAGTGGGAATGGTGGGTGCTCAGCACCCTGTGCCAATCAGGCCCATAACGTCTCAAGTTGGCCACCCAAAACGTGAGGCACCCAAAACGAGTGGCTGTTTTTGAAAATGTTGTGCCTTGATCTCTCTGCCTTAGCTTTCCCATCTGTAAAATGGTTGTAGTAAAAAGTTGGGGAGCTAAAATAGAAGCACCCCAAATAAAGAGCCTAACACCAGCAGCTCACTGAAAGTTAGCCCTCAGTGGGGAGTGTCAGTGCAGTGTCCCCCAGTGACTGCACCAGCTGTTTCTTTTGGTCTGCTGTTGGCCGCTACCCCTTAGCCCATCCCTCCGGTGACGATCAGCTTGTCTCAGCCTCCCATGAAAGGGGCACTCCGAGACCTTATTCAGCAATTTCTTCTTCCCCATCCCTCTTGTAAGCTACATGCTGAGTCTTTATCTCCTTTTAAGCACACACTCACCCCAGCACCTTCCTACGTTACAAGGGCAGGCAAGGCCCGGCCTTGAGGAGCCCCCCCTCATCTAGAACAGCTTCGTTCTGAGAAACTGAGGCACATTGTGACAGCAGCTTCGTGCACGACGGCCCCCACAAAGGCACCACACCGATTTGCACACCCAGCTCCTCTGGGTGTGAATGGAAACGGGGTAACTGCACGGGCAGGTGGCTAATTACTGTTGTTCACAAGGCCGCATCTAAGCTGTTTACAAATCCAGGCCCCCGATGTGGTTAAATCATGGAAAGCCTTTGCTGAAGGGGCTAGGAAAGGAGTGTTTGCTTGGCAGTTCTCTTGGTTTGTATATGGAGGTGCGGTGCTTTCTTGGCTTCTCCGGGACTAACTGGACACTCAGCAGGCATTTCTAAGCCACTATCAGAGCCCAGCTGGACTTGGGTGATCCTTCTAATCACTGATGGCCAATGCTCTGCATGTGCACACCCTTCACCTCTCATTATTACCCCCCAAGTGTTGTGGGGAAAGAGGACTAGGTTGGTAGGGAATGGGGGACGGTTGGGCTGGAAACCTTTCTCAGCAAGGGCTCCAGCAGCCACCTTGGCTCTCCCAAGAGGCTTGTCATGATGTGCTCCCGGCAGGAGGGAGCAGCAGTGACTGGTTCCTGTTATTGCAGGTGTCTCCCTTCCCAGAGGCCTACAGAGAGACTCTGCACGCCTACAAGATAAGCGAGCAAGACACTGATGTAAGAGCCACGCTCTCTGCTTGCTTGTCCGCCCCGCCCCTCTGCTGTCACCCACCCATCCTCCGCCCCTCAGCAGCTATGCCTTCTCCTGCCCCTTTCTGTGATGTTATTTATCATTGGACGAACATCCTCTCTCATAGCAGAGCTAGAAGGACGCGGGCACCATCAGTATCGTTCGCTGTCGCTCACTCATGTGGCTCGCTCGTCCTCTCTAGTTCTCGGCTTCCTTTCCACTGCATCCCTCCCTGCTGCTATGCGTGTAATTGTGTGTGCATCCTGTCTGCTCGGCTTGTGTGCTACCTGCGTGGGTATTTGCGTAGTAAATGTCCCCTGGAAGATTGCAGCTTGCTGCAGGTCCCCACTGTGCAGATCCCAAAGGGATTTCCCCTGTACCCTGCCCACCTGTGACACAATGACGTGGTAAATAGACAGTGGCCCCTCCCGTTGCTAGAGGGGCTTTGCCCCATATCTGTGGCCTAATGAGTGACCCTGGAAATGAAACTCAGTTCCTAGGAAGCCCAATGGATCCTACTGACTTTTCATTTTCTGTGCTGCCAAGTGTGACTGACCCATCTGCTTCTGAGCTGGGGAAAAGGGGAAGGGGCTCACTGAATGGAGGCTAGAAATGAGATACTGTAGGGTCTCTAGGCTATAAGCTAGCGTCATAGAAGATGTATCTGGTGCTAAACTACTGTCAGGAGGACTGGGGGGCCAAATCCTCGTCCCAATCAAATCATTGGGAGCCACTGACCTGACTGGGATCAGGGTTTGGATCTGTGCCCTGCCTTGGTGAAGATACAGACTCGCTGATCTACCATAATGAGCCTTCTCCATCCTTAACTGTGCACCATGGCGTGATGGCAGAACAGACCCCATCTCCCCTCTCCTGTCAATTATCCACAGCTGGCTTAGCACCAGGGCTCTGAGGTCTGTGGTAAAAGCCAAGGAAGGGCTTCCACACTGAAGGGCTCCAGGGGAATGGGGCTGGGAAGAGGTGCAATCCCCATCCCGTCGTGGTGGACTCCCCGCAGTCGGGCTGCAGAGGGACTTCTGCCAAAACTACGATGGGGGGTACATTGGCCAATCAATAATCAGATGTGCAGAGATCATACAGCACCTTGGGGCATGAGGAAATGTGTGGTGTGGGGGAGCCCCAGCCTTCCAGCCTGCCCTGAACAGCCTTAGTTTCCAGCTGATCAAATGCCATTAAAATACCCAGCCCTCTCCGTTGTTTGCCCAAAGGCTTTAGTGATCTCAAGACAGGAATGGGGAAGCTTAGCACGCACCAGGCAGTATTGCAGCCCAGAGCCTGGAAGTGGTTGTTACTGGCCAGGCCAGCTTTGTACCTGATCTGATGTCCCTTTACACCTTGGACCCTGGTGCCCCTTGCTCTTCATGTTCTCCCCCCCTCCCCTTTTCTTTCCTTGCCCGAGGACAGAAGCTGCTGGGAAAACTGTGTGAGCAAAACAAGGTGGTGAGGGAGCAGGACAGGCTGGTGCAGCAGCTCCGAGCAGAGAAGGTGAGTGGCTGAGGGAGGGGAACGGAGCAGGCTGGTTCCTACCACCCTGGGGGCACCCGAGTGCTGGGGCTAGCCGTGCCTTCTGTTGGTGAGCATTGCACTTCACCAGTAGCAGGGTTGTAGCCGTTACCTGGGATCCCTACGCCATCCCCCATGGTGGGTGGATGAAGCACTCAGACCTCCCGCCAGGGTGGGTATTTTTGCCTGGGCGGTTACACAGCGCTAGTGGCTTTCAATTCTTACCTGGCCCCCATCACGGTAGAGTCCCTCATATGGTACTTATGGTCCCCTCCTGATACTACCTGGCAAGAGGGCAAGTGTTCTGCCCACGTTGCAGATAGGGAACGGAGGCGCAGTGAGGCCAAGTGACTTGCCTGAGGTCACAGGGAGACTGTGGCAGGGCTGGGAAATGAACCCAGATCTCCTGAGTCCCAGGCCAGTGCCTTAACCCTGCGATGACCAACCTCCCTGCTTGCAGGGCTGGGCATTTCTGGGTGCCTGCAGCCCCATCCCCAGGTCAGCCAGATCCGCTTACCCGCTGGCGTTCACCAGGATGGGAGCATGGTTACCCACTGACCATTCTGCTGCAAAAACGGCCCTTTCAGATGCCAACCTCTGGGCTTGCCAAGGCTGAGCGCTTTGCGCGTACGAGGGGAGGGAGGCGATGAGGGTTTAACGACCATCTTATCCCTACCATTAGGAGAGTCTTGAGAGTGCCCTGATGGGGACCCACCAGGAGCTGGAGATGTTCGGGAGCCAGCCAGCCTACCCTGAGAAGCTGCTGCACAAGAAGGAATCCCTCCAGAACCAGCTGATCAACATCCGGGTGGAGCTGTCCCAGGCCAGCACGGTAACAGACACTCCTCTAGCCGTAGGTCCATGAGACTGCTGGGGACCCCTCCTCCTCCTGGGGGTGTCATGGGGACCCAGACTGGCCCAGTGCTTCAATTTCCCCTGTGCCCTGCCCGCAAGTGAACCAATGACATGGTAATGGCCAATGGTCCTCAAGTCACTAGAGAGGCCTTGCACTATACCAGTGGGTTGGATGGGGCACCACACGCCTGGGCACTTCTTCACTGTGGGGAGGATGGGACGCAGGAAGAGGCCCATGTGTCCTGGGCTGCAAAGTGCCATGCAGATTTAACTCATGCAGTGCCATGCACCCCCACTATGCTGCTTCTGAGGGAAGCAGCTGCCCGGCATAGATCCTGGCGTCTGCATGCTGCCCGTGTGGCAGGGACCTTGCTCAGCAGCAGCATGAGCTGAGTGGATGGAGCCTGGTTCTCCAAAGGAACTGCCTGGGCAGCCTGGCTGTTGCTTTCCACGAGGCTGGGACTGTGAGTGCCTGGGAGACCTGGCACTGGAGGGGGGAATGTCTCTGCCACCTCAGCCGGGTGGGGATAAATCTCTTCTCCTCTTTCCTCTCCTTTGTCTGTGCATTGCCCCCTTCTCTTTTTCTTTCATTAAAAAAAGAGGAGGGGGGCAAATCCCATCATCCCACTGTCAACTGAGACATCTTGTACAGGGACAAAAAATATTAACCCCTGCAGCGCCGAGCTGGGGTGCGTGCCAGGGAGCAATATTTTGGGTTCCCACTTGCAGTTTGCATTCCTTGCTTTTCTGCACTCCTGGTTTGCCTTCCAACCCCTGATCCCTAATGGTGCAATACAGTCATCAACAGCTTCTCTTTGCTTCCAGCACAGGCCCTGCCAGCTCCAAAGGAACTCCGGATTAGGGATGGCCACAATTCCCTGGCTACCCAGGGGCTCATTCAGCACAGACGACACCTGTCACTACATCCTGCCTAATCCACTATTGCCACCATCTCTCCACCAATCCCCTCCCCCATTGTCTGCTGTTCCCTGTGAACAAAGCCCCCCTACCATTTTCTGTTGCCTTCCCCTGATATGCCCCCTGGCTCACATGCCCTTCACAGCCAGGCCTGGTATTTCCAACAGGCAGCAAAGACAAGGGATGCCTTTCCCTAGGTGGATTGAGTTGAGCATCCACTAGGAGAGGGTATGGGCTATGGCCTTGCCGGCCGTATCCTAGCTCCATACTCAGTCCCGTGCTATGACACACATGCCAGGGCCCACCCGCTGCCCAAGCTCCTCTTTCTCCAAGGTGGGGATCCCCCTCTTAGCAGCCCATCCTGGCTCTGGCAGGCTGGTGAGGGCTGTGTGCTGGCATCAGGCTGAGTATTCCCTGTGCTCCCCATGGACACAGACAGACAAGCTGATTTCCTGATGGAAATGTTTGCAAATCCCTACAGGCCTTGGCCAACAGCACCATAGAGTATGAGAACTTGGAGGGCGAGGTGTCAGCCCTGCACGATGACCTGTGGGAACAGCTGAACTTGGACATCCAGGTGAGAGAATGGGACTGTGCCCTTTCAGGCCAGTGCTAGTGAATCCAAGCAGCCTGGGATCAGGTGGGGCGTATGAAAATGGAGATCTCAGCCATTCTGGGCAGCTAGACCAGTTCACTAGGGCCTGATTCTGCTCTGGGGTAAATCAGGAGTAACTCCATTGATGACAGTAGAGTTCTCCTCTGTAAAATTGGTGTAAATAAGAGTAAATTCTAGCCCTAAGAGCCCATGACTTGGAGTTTTTTGGTTTCTGTGGGTTTAAGTCACAACTTCAGGACCTGCTTTTCAGAAACCTTCATGTGCAAAAACAAGCGCGTGTTTTTTGGTGCATCTAATTTGTGTGCACAATTATCACGCCTATGCAGGCAGCCACACGAATTATGCAGAAAATGGCCAGTTAGGTGCACAAGTGGCGGTGCAATTACTGGGATTACATGTACAAGCTCAGTTACTGCCTGTGCAAATTAGGAACGCAAATGCACGTGGAGTTTATGCACAGACATTTGCACACGTGGTTCTGAAAATACAGAGTCAAATTCTCAGTAACCAAGGGTGTAAATCCAGAGTAATTCCATTGAATTCGATACTCATTACTCCATATTTACGCTATGTAACATTGAGCAGAATTTGACCCCTAGGTCTTAAAATGACTTGGGATTGACTAATGACCTGGGGATAGATATTCAGCAGGGTCAAAGTACACCCCATCCAAAACTATCTTTCTAAAGCCAGCCCAGTAACCTTCCTTCCTTCTGCTTGAACCATGTCAGTCATCCTAGACTGAACCCTACTCCTTTAAAAACTAATTGGTATATAACCCTAGGTCAGCTTCTTCAAGCTTGGCCTTTGCCTCTGTATTAAGCAAGCTCTGCCTCTTTGGGTAATTACTCACTCTTCCGTTCCAATAATGTATTTATTGGGGGTCTATCTGCTTCAGAGATGGAGCCAAGGTAAACTGGGCATCAGCCTCCCTCACTATAAGGTAGAAGTGGCTGTGCAATAACACTTAAACAGAGCGCCATGCAAATATTACCCAGTCTGTCTTCGCAGCTGCCCCGGCAGGAAAGCAGTGTTATCCCCGGGTGGCCGAGGGGGAAGGCAAGGCACAGCGAAAACGGGACTTGCTTAAGACCGCTGAGCCAGTCAGTGGCAGAGCTGGGATTAGAGCACAGGAGTTCTGAGTGCCCCAGGACACTCACCACTAGGTGGCACTTACAGTCTGCTGTTCTGTAACGAAGCGGGAAAGGCCCAGGGTTACCAGGAGGGGATGAATTCACAGGATAATTGTCACCTGCTGCTATAGAAATGCCTTGGCAGCAGCATGAAGGAATCTTTGCAAGATAAACATTGAGGTGGACTCTGGTGGGGATTGAGGTGCCTAGCCCCCATTGATTTCAATGGGAGTTAGGTGCCTAAATACCTTTGTGGATCCATCCCACCCTAGCTGTTCATTTTCCGAGCAGGTGACTGATTCTGATGCAGGGTTCTAGTTCAGGCCCCCTATGTCTGTGACACCAGACGGGGGGAAGGAGAGGCCGGTAGTCCTGGCCTGTCTTGCCAGTGCCCTGGTGAACAAGCCTATTGCATACTTCAGCCATGCTGGGGCCAGTTTCCCCTGCAAAGCCGTTCATTATTCAGTCCTTGCTCATGCCACCTTTCAGTGACTTCTGGGGCCACATCCCTGCGGGTCCTGTTCCTTGCTCAGACACCCCCCTCAGTGATGGCATTGGGAGCTCCCTCTGAGTGACCCCAGAGTGAAGGCCCCGCGGTTTGGCGCTACGGTATTAGTGGGCAGGAGGAGGCGCTGTGTATTTTTACTGTAGAGCGATGAGGTCAGGGACACAGGGTCAGTCAGGCCTGGCCTCCATCCAACACTTATCGCCTAGCTACTTTGCTCGGGGGTGTAAAAAATTCACACCCCTGAAAGAGGTCGTCAAGCCGACCTAAGCCCCGGTGTAGACACCTCTAGGTGGGCGGACAAATTCTCCCTGCGACCGCTTCTCAGAGGGGTAGATTAACTGCGGCGACAGGAAAACCTCTTCCATCGCTGTAGCAAGCCCCCACGCTCCGGCGGCACAGCTGCAGCACCGTAGCCAGGCCGCTCTTGCAGCTGTCACATAGACCTCGCCGCAGAGGGCAGGTTGGCTGGGCCGTGCCACACCTCTGTGGCTCGAGGTGGCTGGCTGCCAAGTGCGGCGCCTGCCAGCGGCTCTGACTCTCCGCACCTTGGCCCTTCCAGAACGAAATGCTCAATCGGCAAATCCAGAAGGAGATCTGGCGCATCCAGGACGTGATGGAGGGGCTGAGGAAGAACAACCCCTCCCGGGGCACGGACACTGCCAAACACAGAGGTGAGCGCTGACTCCTCCCTACCCAGCATGGGTCTGCCACTCCCTCCCTCTCTCTGGCCTCGGAGCTAGAGGCTGCTGGCTGCCCGGGTGTCTCAATGCACCTGTCGTCCTCCCCGCTGACACAGTCACACTGCTTCGTATTGCCTCAGAACGTCACGTGCACCTGGCGCTCGGCGGCATTCCAAGCCTGCTCCCGGCCCTGCCACTATGTCGCTCTCCTGTGGCTGCAGCCCGCAGAGGGCAGGAGTCCTAAGGCGAGCCTGGCTAATGGAGAATCTCACATAGCAAGGGGTCTGTGATTTTTTTTTTTGGAGCAAAAGGATGTGGGTTGCAGCCCTGGTGCCGCATTAAATGCAGACCCATTGGCGGCCATGGTATCTGGCAGGGTCCCTATGGCAGGTACCTCTAGTTTCTGTACTTCACACACACCTGGCCTCTCTAGACATCCCTGCTGGTTCTCTGGACGTCCCTCTGCTGCTTCTGCCTGAAGGTGTCTGCTGCATGTGCCACTGCCTGGCTCCAGCTTGCTATGGATAAGTCTAGGAGAGAGAGGAGACCCTGTATAGATACCTGCACCAGCAATGACCATCCTGGGCACATTGGCCTCTGGCCTGGCATCGAATGCAGCTCAGAAGCCCCAGGCCCTGGTTCATTGGCCCCTTCCCTGCTGTGCCAGCCCCCCTTGAGAGTGAGAGTGACTCACTTCCACTCTCTCCTCTCTTGTTTCTCCGCAGTGGCCGCTGGCCCCTCTGGAACGTACAGCTCCAACAGCCCTGCTAGCCCCTTGAGCTCAGCCAGCCTCACCAGCCCACTGAGCCCTTTCTCCCTGGTGTCGGGCTCACAGGGGTCGCCCACCAAGCAAGGGACAAGCGAGGTGAGTGGAGCCGCTGTTGCATGGGGCTAGCATATGTAGCCCTGGGCAGAAAGTGTCTGTGGCTTTTCTCCTCTTGAGATTCTCTTTGCACCAGCAGGTGGCACTCCCGGCTTTCTCATCCGATGGCGCGGGAGAACGACGTGAACCGTGGGTTCTAACTAGAGCTGGGATCAGGCTGCACAAGTCAGGGCCAAAGTGGAGGTGGCTTTGGACCTGGGACTTGGGTTTGGCCCATTGGGAAGACTGGGGGAGGGTGGGACGTGCAGATTTTGGGTGCAGACTTGGGTCCGGATGCCCTGAAGTCCTGGGGCATGGAGAACCAGGGTTTTGGTTCAGCCCATTGTAAAACTGGGGCCATTTGCAAACTTGGGACTGGGACCTGGGTTCCCGCTTTGAACCACACCAAAGGGGACGGATGCCTAGACCTGGGGACTGGGCTCGGGCCCAGCGCTAGTGAAACCCTAGAGCTGCATAAAACTCATCCGTTTCCCTTACTTGGGTTTTCCCAGACATTCCCATTGTTCTCTGCTCTCCTAGTTTGGGCTTGAGTCTGGCTTTCGTCAGAGCCCGTCAGACAAAGCCACGACAGTGGCTAGATACCACCGTGTTGGGCACGTTGAACACTCCCTAGGTAGAGAGGGAGGAACTCCGAGTTATGCTTCTCTCTGTGGTTCAGCTAGTTTTGAGGGGCTTCTCATTGGCTGCTGTCTGCCCAGCTGGTTCCGAAGATTCACGGTGATGCGGAACCAAAGGGCAAGCGCCCAGCCTCCGAAAACGGGAAGAATGGCCAGGGCTGGGTGAGTGGACCCGCTGTGTCCTTTCTCTGGGGGGCTCATTCCCAGCAGCAGGTGGGGTTACGCTGCCTGGCTCCCATTGGCGTAAACACATGACGTCCAGGTAAGTGGTCCCTCTGTTGAGAGCTGTGACGTAGCAGGGGCTGCTGGATGGGTGGGTCTGGGCCCTAGGCTGTTGGGGCGAGTCGGAATTGCTGGGTCCCAGAGCAAGTGCTCAGCCTGGAGGGGTGGGACCAGCGGTACTCTCTGGGCTCCAGCTGCCCTCACCCTGGGCTCAGTGCCTCTGTTTGTCTGTCTCTTGCTAACTGTCTTTTCCTTCCTGTTCTCTCAGTTTCTCTGCTGTTGCGCCTAACACTCTGGCTTCCTCTCTGCCCCAGGAACCAGGCCCGCCTCGACCTCCCCTGCCCAAATCGTATGTCCCTCTGGAGTCTCCTCCGACTGTTCCTCCGTTCCCTAGCGAGAGCCGCTTCTGGCCATACTCTAACTCCCCTTCCTGGCAGCAAAGCGGCGAGGCGAAGAAGGGACAGGTATCCAAGCGCCTCCAGAGCCGACCTCGGCATCCAGCGGCACGCAGTATCCCCATCCCCCACTGGGAACCGGAGCCAGCTAGCGGGAGAGCCACGGGGATAGCTGGGAGGGGGCAAAGCAGAGCTGACCCTCTCCCTACACCTGCAAATGCTGGGGAGGTATAGGGAGCAAGCTGCCCCCAGGGAACAGACAGGGAGGGGCTTAGCTCCGTGACTGCCCTCAGCCAAGCTGGAGAAGCATGGCATACCCTGGGCATCCAGACCCCCAGCACGGGCAGGGGCTTTCAGTGCTTGAGCCCTTTCTGCAGCCAGGCCCTGTCAAACGGGAAATACTCTAGATTCATGCAGGCATTTTAAGGTGGGTACTGTAACTCGAATCCCTCCCCCATTGGGGAACTTAGTGAGCTCTGCCCCCTTAACGGCTTATTGGCTGGCAGCATTGTTTCATGAATAGGGCACTGGCCTGGACCCAGGTTCTGTTCCCAGCTGTGCCACTGAACATGGGCAAGTCACTGCCTCACTCCGTGCCTCAGTTTCCCCATCAGTCCAATGGGGGGTAATGATGCCCTCCTTTGAGATCAGTGTATAGTGCCACTCACCATGCAAGAGCAGAGTATTCTCATTGTCCGTGGAAATCAATGGTCCATAAAACATTGCCCAGAGAGTGCACTCAAGCCCGTTTCTGGTAAGGCCGTTAGGCTAAACTGCTGATGGATCCATTTGAACTGGGGTGACTGATGCTCAAAGACAAATACTCTGAAACCCCCTTAAAGCCAGTCTCGTCTCAGTGTGGAGAAGGGGATACTGTGCCGGCCACTGGGATGCTGTGAAAGCCAGGGTGCAGGGATGCAACCATTATGAGCCCACCACACGGGGATAGAGGGAGAAGTCCAGGGCCTCTTGCTGGCCTCACTGTGATTCTTGCTTGGGTCAATGTAACACCATTGATGTGAGTAGCCAATTTATTTCTGACTGACACCAGCAGGAGAGGAGACTCAAATGTGCAGCGTCACACGCTGAGCAGCCTGGTTCCTGTTTGCTTTTCTCTTCCATTCTCCTGCTGGCTTTCTTTACTCCAGCCTGGATAATTGCACTTCCTGTTGTTAGCTGCAAACAAGCACTAGGCTGGAACGAAGTAATGGTACAGGGCCTGATTCTGATCTCATGCCAGCATAACTGCACTGACGTCGGGTGCGTTACTCCTGATTTACACCCACATGTAAAATTCGAAATACTCACTCGCACAAAAAAAGCACAAGCATGCATGTAGCCAAGTGATCTCACACGCGCGAAAGGCATGCTAGTGTGTGCGGCTGGATACTTGGGCATGCAAAACAATGCCCGTGCACCATCAAGTAACAGCATGAACCAGCTAGTTCATTGTGAGTGCAGATAAGTGCATGTGCATACAAAGATTGCACGTATAAATGCAAATGGGCAGGGAGACGACTTTTTGCGCATGCAACTGGGTAGCTGCACATATAAAATAGGCGGCTATGCGTGCAAACAGCTATCTGAGCTTGCAGTCCGCTGTCTAAAACGTGCAAACAGTTCCCTGGTTGCATGTGCAATCCCTTTTTTGGGAAGGGTGCAGTTTACTCAAGGCAAAGTTATTTGAGAATTTGCCTTGTGATGGAACTATTGGGCCCACAGTCTTTACTGGTGTGAACCCGTTGAAGCCAGGGGATGAATGTGGCCTATTTAAGTTCATCACAGGATCTCTTTGCAATATTTAATCTTCCCTGTGGCCTCAGCATTTTATGTCACGAACGGGGATTCTTAAATAAGAACCACAGTGGACTGTGGGGGATCCCGGACTCTTGGGTTCTGTCTCCAGCTCTGTCATTGGCTCGCTGGGTATGTTGGGGCCAGTCGTGTCCCCGCTCTGTGCTTGGCAAGTGTCTAACAGGGTTGTTAATAGAGCTGGCTGGGAAAGATAAGAATATTTTGTACAAATATTTGCAAGGAAACAATGTTTCCATTTCATTCAAAAATTTTCCTTAAATTTTCTGTTGTTTTTTTTTTAAAATTTAAAATTATGTTTTGTTTAGTTTGGGGCGGGGCAACCCCATTTTTAAAATTTTCCCCCCCCCCCCCCCCCCCCCCCACTGAAATAACAGAGGAGGTGGGTTGGGTTTGGTTTGGTTTTAAAGAAAGAAAGAGAGAGAAATGAAGGAAAAACCTATTTTTAAACTTTTTTGTTACCTTCCAGTAGAAAAAAGGAGAATTGGGGGGGGGGGAATTCCCAGCAAAATGAAATAAATTTTTTTGAAATTTTCACTTGGAATTTTTTCCTTGAAATTGTTTTTCTTTTTGGTCGAAATGTTTTGTTGAGAGAGGAAAAGATTTGACCAAAATGAAAATGTTCTGATAAAAGGGTGGTTTCAGTCAAGAAGCCTTTTTCATTTGGGGAGTTTTTGGATGACAATGTTCCGAGATGCGCTCGTTATGAATGCTGCCCGCTCTGAGGCTTAACTAACCCTCATGAAGCTGACTGAGGCCCTTGGAAAGGAGACAAGGTTTTAGGGTGACCAGACAGCACGTGTGAAAAATCGGGACGGGGGTGGGAGGTAATAGGAGCCTATATAAGAAAAAGACCCAAAAATCAGGACTGTCCCTAAAATATCAGGACATCTGGTCACCCTACAAGGTTTCAAGGAGGTGCTGAGCTGGGGCTGAGGGTGGGAGGGGATTTGGTGCAAGTGGCTGATGTAATGGTTGCAACCCCTGCTGGCTCGTTCTTCCAACCCATCCCATGTCATCTACACCCATGGCCTACCTTGCCTACTCCCCCATTCCTGCTGTATTCATTGACACACTGCAGCAGATCTTGTCCACGGGGAATGTTGTCTGAGCTGAAATGGAAGCAGGAGGAAGATGAACTTGAGCAGGTTCATTGCAGACATTGTGGGAAGACGGGTAGAGGAATAGACCTACAGGGGAACCCTTCTCTGGGCCCCTGCTGCTCTTCAGGGTTTGGTGGTCAGAACCTTATTTTTCTAAAGCTATGTGGCTCATCCGTGCAGCCTCCTGTCCCTGCTTTGCAGACTCATGAACTTCCCAGACTGGGGAGCAGGATCCAGAGTTACTGGCTCATCCAGCCTGAGGAGCTTGATCACTTGAGCGTCTCCCACCTCTAGTTCATGGATCACCACATACATAAGCTTTGGTTAACCATCCCTGTGTTTAAAGTGTGGGGTCTGGAGCGCAGCAGCCCAACCCAAATCCCGCTGGAGTTAATGGGAGCCTTTCCACAGACTTTAGTGAGCGTTAGTTCAGGCTTTCAGTCAGCAACCTCGGGCTGATGCACGGCCCGTGGAAATCAGTGGGAATCTTTCCATTGACTTCAGAGGGCTTTGGGTCAGATCCCAGGAGACTACGTCCACATTCCCAAACGCAAAAGAAAAATAGCAAAGGGTCTGACCATGGGGCAAACGTGTCTCGTATTTCACAAGGTGAGCAAAATATCCTGCACAAACTAGTTCAGTCACGATCCTGCCGAGAGATGGGGCAAGGCCAGGACAGCTGACCCCGACCCACCGTAGCCCCAGCCTTCAACGCTTTGGTGCAAATGGGTGTCCCAGACCATGCCTGGTTATGGCTCTGCAGCTCCAAGCCCAGCCTGGATTTTGTCTTTCTCTCTGTCCAGACGACTGGATCTTGTGCTTTGAGTGTGTCGTGGGCTGGGGGGGGAGAGTGTTGATCAAAATGAAAACCTGCCTAGGTGCCTCTCCCGATTGCTATTTCGTTTGTGTGTGTGTGTGTGTGTTTCGGTCTTTTCTGTGTGTCCTCTGTGTCTGCTGTCCCCCGGCTAATGAGTGGCAGAGGTCCGAAGGCAGGGTGTCTCCCCAGCTGCCCTGCCAACAGCTCCTCCTGAACGGCTCAGCTGCTCACCAGCAAATCCGCTCTCTTTCCGCAGTCCAAGTCCAGCTTCGAGCAGAATAAGAAAGAGGTTCATCGGAGCTCCGCCCCCATCCCACCCACAGAGGCTGGGCTCATGCAGACGAGGCAAGAGCTGGATGCTGAGAAGCAAGCGGCTCTCAACAAAGGTACCTCCCATGGCCTCGCCATCTCAGGGCGGGCGGCAGCTCCTCTGTCACCATAAATAAAGTCCAGGCAGGGGAGATCAGGGCTGGAGGCAGTGGCCGGTAGAAGCTCTGGATGGCCCCTGAGGAAGGCTTCACCACTTGGATTTTGGGGCTGGGGATCTCCCTATCAAAATCCATGGTACCTTATCAGTGCAGGGCACAGTTTAAGAGGATGCAGTAAGCTGGGTTCGGAGCTCACTGGGGCCATCTGCTTGCACCCAGTGGAGCATGCTACCGAAAAGCAGGGAGGGAGTTGGGAGGAGACTATTACCCTAGTATTTCCTCCTGCCCCTCTGGATAGAGGCTATTCCACCCGGCAGCACCTGGGAGAGTCAGGGTCCTGTCACCAGGCCCCCGGGATGCCGAGGTCCCTCCATGTCTGAGGACACTCCTTCAGGCTCTGCGCCTCCATGGGGGCTCTTTGCTGCATTAACAGATCAGCTCCCCAGCCCTTCCCCTGCGTGCTCCCCTGAAGCACACAGTACGATTGCATTGAGCTAGTAATCCCAGCAGGCAGTTGGAAGTTAGGACTCCTGGGTTCTATTTCTGGCTCTGCCACTGACTGACTGTGTTACTTTGGGGTGAGGTCACATTCCTGCTCCATGCCTCAGTTTCTCCCCTGTAAAATGGGTTTAATAATAATCTCTTGGGGTGCTGGGGCTGTGAGACGCTCAGGGGAAAGGTGTGAGGGAAGGGCCATGCGTCCTTCCTTGCGCATTCCCAGTGCCGAGTGGCCCGGCAGCACTCCCCTGGAGTACACAGTGAGTACGCAGCCACCCCCCGCCAGCGGCGGTGTGAGCACATCCTCTGCACCCAGCAAAGATGAGCAGTGAAGAGAGAGGGCAAGGAGCAGTGAACCACCCAGGCAGCCTTCAGCTCAGGGGAACTCTTGCCAGGTCCCAAACCAGCATGGGGCCCATGGGTAGCCAACTGATTTGGGTTCAAGCATTTACCTTCTCTTCTGCTTCTCCCCAGTTGGCATCGTTCCCCCGAGGACCAAGTCTCCCACCGATGAGGACTCAGCACCCACTTCGGGAGTGATCAGGAGGAGCACCAGCAACATGTCCAACGGACTGAGCTCCCGGGTAGGCTGCGGCTCTCTGCTTTGCACGTCACTGGGGATCCTGGGATGGGGGGCAGAGCCCGGGGGGGAAGTAGAGGGGATGCAGGGATGTGGATCGGGGCTGGGGTAGGAGATGGGAGATTGTACAGGGTGCTGGAATGGGCTCCTGGGAGGTGGGACGGGTGCAGAGGTGGAAGAGACTGGGATAAAATAAAGGAAGCCCATAGGAGGTGTCTGGCTCACAGCCCATTTGCCAGCTTCCCTGGAGCATTCAGGAGAGGGACTGTGAGAGGCACAGGAGTTTGTCTGAGCTGTGTTGACCCAAGGAGGTGGTGTTTGAAGCCCTTTGCAGGAAATGCCACCTGTGCAGAACCCCCGGCTTCCCTAACCGGATTAGCGTCTGCCTGACCCTGCAAGGCCTGGGAATCCTTCCCCCGGATATTGAACTTGGTCTGAATGTCTGAGTTCCAGTTCAGTGTCTGTCTGCGCCTCCCTGGCTGCCCCACAGCTGAGCCGGGGCTTCTCCATCCCGCTGTGTCCCACTCACGGTGCTTCTCTCCTGACCAGCCCTCCCATCCCCACCAACACACACCACTCTGCCAGTGCCCTTCAATCCCAACCCACGGCCCCCTGCTAGCCCAGCCCTGCGCTCCCCTCCGCCACAACTCTGCTGATGCTCTTCAGTCCAGCCCCCGTGCTCTTCCCATCCTGGGCTTCCCAGGAACAGCTGCTGAGACACTAATTGTCTCGCATAGAAACCTTTCCCCTAGACAGCAAGCGGAGAGCAGCAGCCTCATGGCATTGATGTCCTATGCCACGGCTGAACCCACTACTGGGGGACACTAGGGTCCTAACCCACGCTGCGGCCCTTCTGTAACCATGGGGCTTTTTGGATTCTCCCCAGGAGAGGCCAAAAAGCGCCGTGTTCTCCAATGAGATGAAGGCAAAAATGAGCGTGGAGGAGCAGATCGACCGGATGAAACGCCACCAAAGTGGATCCATGAAGGAAAAAAGGCGGAGTTTGCAGCTCCCAGCCAATCAGCAGCCAGACGCTCCCAGCACGAAGGCACCCGCGTCATACAAAGTGGTAAGGTCTTCCCATGGCAGTCGTCAGGTTTGGGGGTGGCATTTGCATTTATCCCACAGGCCTGCCTCAGAACAACATCTCTGAGCTTGTCCAGTCCCCGGGCTCCTCTGGGGTTTCTGGGCCAACTCCCTTGGCGTGGATTAGTCCCTGCCCTCTCCCAGGAAGAGGGTTTTCAGATCCAGGATTGCAAGTCCTCCCCTGACCAAAAGGCCCTGTTTGGATTTGCCTGGAGGCAGTCTGGTCTAATGTCTAGAGCGCTGGACTGGGACTTGGGAGACCTGGTTCTCTTCCCAGCTTTGCCACTGGTCCACTGAGTGACCATGGGCGAGTCACTTCTCCTCCCCATGCCTCGGTTTCCCCATCTGTAAATTGGGGGTAATGATACTGTCTTCCTCTGAAAAGCACTTTGAGATGTACTGATGGAAAGTGCTGCAGAAGAACCAGATGGTATAGTTATTACTAAGGCTGGGGCCTGTGATGAGTCAATAGTCAGATGTTTGGGGGCATGAAGGGCAAAACCCGTGGGGCGTGAGGAAAGCCCATTGTGGGGTGCTTGAAGGAGGTGAGAGATGGGGATATAGGGAAGTGCTTGCCAGGGGAAGGGAGGTGTGGGAGTCGCTCTGAGGCTATGGTGATGGGCTCGGATGGACGAACAGAACGAACCCTGGGGTTTCTAGAGGAGTGAGTGAGGAAGGGGGGCAGAGGCCAGCGAGACTGAGCCACCTCTTGCATTTGTGAGCTCTGCGCACCCTCTCTATGAGCCAGCAGGGGCGTGACCCTGCTGGCGGACCGTCCTGGCTCTGAGGTGGCAGCTCTGTGGCCCGTTCCAGGTGCGCCGACACCGCAGCATCCATGAAGTGGACATCTCCGACCTGGAGGCAGCGCTGCGCACCGAGGACTCTGGCAAAGTCTACGAGACACCGAGGGAGGAGATCGCCCGGCTACGCAAGATGGAGCTGGAGCCACAGCACTATGATGTCGACATCAGTAAGGAGGTGAGGCCTGGCCCCACTGGAGCAACACACCTTAGGGATGGCAATGGGGGCAGGTTGCTATGGAGACCGTGTACATGGTGGGGGGAGACAGCACCTCTGAGATGACATGGGCCCAGGACAGGCAGGAGAAAATGGTGCCTGGGCTGAAGGGACAGGTCCCTCTAGGCATTTGTCTTGCCCGGGCTCTTATGTCCTATAGCCTGGGACTGGGGGCTGGAGCAGACACCAAGGCTGGGCACTGCGCAGAGAAGAATGCAGTGTAGGGTGGGTGTCATGTGGGTTCTGGGCCAGGGATGGGTTTTGTGCTGGTTCTGGATTACAGAGAGTTGCTGGAGCAGGAACTGGTGATATATGGGTGTCCTAGCACAGGCTGGGTGAGCCCTGAAGGAGGGACTGGGGGCTGGAGAAGGGACCGATGCTGGCTGCTGTGCGCTCCTCTATGCGTGCAGTTACAGAATGCCCATGTTGCCTTCAGACCCCTGGACTTAAAACCTGCTTTTGCCTCCTTCTAGCTCTCTACCCCAGACAAGGTCCTCATTCCGGAGCGGTACATTGAGCTGGAACCGGACACCCCACTAAGTCCTGAAGAGATGAAGGAGAAGCAGAAGAAAGTGGAAAGGATAAAGACGCTCATTGCCAAATCCAGGTGATGGTGCTGTTCTGTGCCCATTTCAGCACCGGCTGTGCCACACCACCGCCTCCTCCATCGTACCTTCTCTCTCGTGCCCGTGTCTGACCTTCCACCCATCCACTACAGCCGCTGTTTGTCTGTCCGCCCTCCCTCCGTGCACCTGCAAATCCATTCACTCAGCTATCCGTTCACGGAGCCACCTGATTCATCTATTCATTTGCCCACTAACTCATTAAATTCCTTGGCCATCCAGACATCCATCTATCTGCCATTCCACTCATGCATCCACTCCCCCTCCCCTCCACCCATTCATGTCGTCCACCTATTCTTCTACCTGCTCACCCTGTCGTTCTGCCCAGTCACATCCTGCATCCTTGTGAGCACACCCTGTATTTCGGGCCGGGCCATCGCTCTGGGGGCAAGGGGGCGGTAACACCAAACTCTCTCTGCTGCAGCTTGCAGAATGTGATCCCTCTAAGCGAGGGAGAGGTGGACGTGCCCCAGGATGCAGAAACCCAGCTCCAGGAGCAGGAGAAGAGGATAGAGATATCCTGCACCTTGGCTACAGAAGCCTCCAGGCTGGGCCGCATGCTCTCCGGTAAGGCACTCAGGAGGCAAAGAACTGCAGTTTCATGGTAAAAAAATGAGGCACAGGAGATGCCTAAGTCAAGAAGGGGCAGACCAAAGCCAGGGGGGTACTAATGACATGGACAATTCCTAATGATCATGGATTTACCTGCATTAAGGGCAGAAGACTGAACTCAGGGTAAAATAAGTGTTAGGGATGACCAGGCAAGGCACCTGGCAGGAGTGGGGTGTAGGCAAAAGGCGAGATATAGTGAAAGGGCCTTTAGAAATAAGATTGATAGGTACATAGGCCAAGATCCTCAGCTGGTGTAAATTGGGGTAACTCCCATCATTTTGATAGAGCTATGCCCATTTGCACCAGCTAAGAATCTGGCCCACAGAGGCAGATCCACCACTGGGCTATTCCATTTTCCTGTACTGAAATCAGTGGAGTTACACCAGTGTAAAACTGAAGTAGCGCCATGGTAGATCAGTCCTGTCGACTCCCCCCGGCAATTCCAGTAATAACAATGGGTGTGACTTTCCTCTCCCCCCTGTGTAAATCAGGAATAATGCCACTGAAGTCAGTGAAATGACACGCATGTAGGAGCAGAATCGGGGCCCCTGTATTTATACCATATGCACATATGTAATGGGCCAGATCCGCAGCTGTGGTAAATAGGTGGAACTCTGACTCTCAATGCTGTCCTTGGTCATGCATAGTACTTCTGTGAACTTCAACGGGCGTCATCCATGAACAGACAAGGGCAGAGAATAGACAGTAGAGCAGTGGCTCTCAAACTTTTGTACTGGTGACCCCTTTCACATAGCAAGCCTCTCAGTGCGACCCCCCCCCTTATAAATTAAAAACACTTTTTTATATATTTAACACCATTATAAATGCTGGAGGCAAAGCGGGGTTTGGGATGGAGGTTGACAGCTCGCAACCCCCCCCATGTAATAACCTCGTGACCCCCTGAGGGGTCCCAACCCCCAGTCTGAGAATCCCTGCAGTAGAGGGTCTTGTTCTCCTTTCACTTACAGCGGTGAAACTCTAGTGGGCCAGATCCTCCGCTGGTGTAAATCACTGACGTCAGTGAAGCTACACTAGTATACACCAGCAGAGGATCTGGCCCATTGATGTCAGTGGAGTCGCACCAGATTTTTACTCTCAATGCTTGGTGATCTGCACCTGTCCTCCCTGGGCTGACACATCTTATTTTTGCATTGGCACTATTCAACCGTGAAGCTTTTGAAAGCTGCAAACCCTCAGCTCTTGCCGCTGAAGCACATCTGTGCCTGGAGATCCCTGCTTCTGGGCTAGCCAGCTGGTGACTACAAAGCATTACTCACGCGGCAAAAACTAGATGGGAAGATGGGGCAGCCTCCAACGCATGTGGAGATGATGAGCGATGTTGGATGGAAGGGATTGTGCATGAAGAGAGGGAGGATGGCCCAGTGGTGAGGGTAGGGCCGCCCTTCCTGACAGGAATGTTGTGGGGATATTGTGAGGCGCTCAGATAATACGGCAAAGGGAACTGTGTATGTAGCTAGACCAGACTAGAATATGGTGTATGTTGGATGGAGGCGGTTGGGTTGGGCATCTCTCTGGAAGGGCCTGTTTCCCAGGATCTTCAATGGAACAGTGGCATTCTGCAGGGGCCTTGAGTAGAACCAGCTGAAGAAAGGGATGTGTTTGGGGGGAAATCTTATGAAAAAAATTAACCCTTTTTCTCTGTCAAAAAATTTCAAAACTACATTTTTTGCAAAACTTGTCACAAACGTCATCCATCCTTTTCTGGTCAAAAAGCTTTGCACTGTCTCGCCCCAGCTCTAGAGCAGACTAGGAGACGCCTGAGCCCTGGTGCGTGCAGTGCGTTGTGGGGGGCTGTACTGGCAATGGGGTGCTGTGGCCCATGCCCATCTCCCTGCAAATAGGCGCTGCCTCCCATCTTTGCCTAAGTCCATGAGGATCCCAGTGTGGAGCTCACGTGTGCATGCTGTGGGGGAACCATTTGTGTGTATCTGTTGTTTCTGACCATGCTTCCTTCCTCTTTTATATTCCCCTGTCGTCTCTAACCTCTCTGCCTTCCTCTGGAATTTGCTCCCTGCTTTGTCCTTTCTCCCCTTGCCAGCTGCAGCGCTGTGTTCTTCACGTCCTTTTCCATTTCTTGTTTCCAGCTCAATGTGCCACCCCGAGTCCTCCCTCTTCCCCAGCCTCCCCGACTCCACCGACAAATCCCCTCTCGTCTGAGTCATCCCGGGTCGCCGACAGCAGCCATTTTATGCGTGTCTGAACCATGAAGTAAGCACCTTTTCTATTGTACTTCATCTCCTCCTCTGTACATCTCAGCCTCCAGGGGTGACGGGGAGAACCTCACTCAAGAGTCTCCTCTTCCCATCCATTCATACGTTGCTTCTCACCGAGCTAACACTCTCCTCTGCCACGTTAGCCCAGTCTACTCCCATGGAACAAGCACAAGGGGCTTAGAACTTGAAACACTGAGGGTCCAGGACCTTGTTTTGAGTCCCTGGGTCAGATCCTCCACTAGGATAAACTGGCATAGCTCCACTAAAGTCAATGGAACTGTCCTGCAGGGTGGATTGATTTAAATCACAGTGATTTTAAATCACAGTGATTTTAAATCAACAAACCCTGATTTAAGTAACCAATTTTAATTTTTGTTTTGCATTTATACCTTTCAGTTATTTACTTATTATAAAGTTGATTCTCATTGGTTGGTATAATTTGGTACTTCTTTTTGCTAACCAGGATGTTACACTATATCCATACACATTTATTTGAGCAGTTATATTGCTTACCATACGTTTATTCAGAATTGTAGTTTTTTATGATGTTAGGAAATGGGGAATGAAGCATTTCTTATGTACTAGATGATGATTCATTTTTACTCATGATTTGTGCCAAGCTAATTGGAGGAAAATTAGAATTCAATTTAAAAGCCACAAGAAGAACATTTTAAAATGTTTTTATTAGTTAAATAAGAGTACCTTGAATGTGCCGAATACGTAAGAAAAAAAGTTTAATAAATCAGTTTTAAATGCAAAACATGTTTTGATAAACAAAGGAAGCATCAGCTGTAGTTAGTGAATAGCCCTGATTGCTTCTGGTCACACTGTCCATCATGATTTTAGAACTAGTAGATCTGATCCTCTTACACCTTGTTTTTAGACATAGCTGGAAGAGGAGAGCAAAGTTGCGTGTTGTTTCAATTTCTAGTTGGTTTCTCAGCTTTGAATGCATTAGTCATTGAACTGAACTAACTGAATAAACTGAAGTGAAGAAAATAATATCTCTGCACCTGCAGAAGAGACTACTGCTGTCAAAAGCTAGTTTTGCACTTCAGGTTCCAGCTGCTTAGCCAGTGACTTCAACCAGTTCAGTGCTTTGACTTTCTCTAAGAACTTCGGCAGCAAACTTGCACTGCTTGAATATTATATTTTTTATTTAAATTAAATTATTTGAATCCTCTATAGTAAGTTTAGGCCTGAACGTAGGTTCTCATAATTTCACTTTTAATTTTAAATACATTTATTTTTTAAAAGAACAATGTATTGAATTTACATTTTTAAAAAATTGATTTAAATTTTTAAAAAGTCCATTTTTAAAATCATTGATTTTTATCCACCCTGCTACACTGCTTTCCACCAGTGGAGGAGCTGGCCCCATCCCTCTTCGGGATCAAGAGTTTTCTCCAGGATTTCCTTCTGAGCACAAAGGAAAAGCTAATGGTGTAGCTAAGTTGTATTAAGGACTCGGTTACTTGGTAGAATGCAGCCCAGCTGGATGGGAGCAGGTGGTTTCTGCCCATTCCAGGACTAAGTGGGTCCTGGCTACGCCAAAGCCTACTTTTGCCATGCATTGCATGGATGTTGTGGGCCAAATTCTCGCCTCGCTTAGATCCACTGTAAATTAGAAGCAGCAAAGAGTCCTGTGGCACCTTATAGACTAACAGACGTATAGGAGCATGAGCTTTCGTGGGTGAATACCCACTTCTTCGGATGCATGTGAAAGCTTCGGATGTCACCCACGAAAGCTCATGCTCCTATACGTCTGTTAGTCTATAAGGTGCCACAGGACTGTTTGCTGCTTTTACAGATCCAGACTAACATGGCTACCCCTTTGATACTTGTAAATTAGAAGTGACCCCAGCGGAAAGCCAAGGGTGCAAATTAGAGGAGAAAACAGGCAAGAAAAATGACACATCCTGCACCGAGAGTGACTGGTTCCTTTCACTGCATAGACAAAGCCATGTAAATAACAGACATTGGGAATGATGGCCAAAAACCAAGGAGACAGGATGAGCATGAGCTCCAGAAACCCTTTGCCTCTAGGTAACAGGTTCAAATCCAGGCCAAGTCAGTAGTGAGTCACTGGAAGCTGGTACGATCTGGTGGCTGTGTTGGCCTGTGTGAGATGAGATTGGTGGGTTCTCAGTGCAGGTGCTAGTGGACACACAGCACTGAGCTGGCACTGACTTGTCAGCAGCCTCAGCAGAGATGTTGGGGACTAAATGGCCATGGAGACTGAATTCTCCTCCCATCCCTAGGGGACAGCCCTCCGGGGCTGGGCTGAGGCCCATTAGCAGGGCAGCGCGGGCAGAAAGGCTGCTTGTGCTGGACCTGCTCTGCGGATGAATAGTGGAGCCTATTTTCCATGGCTGTTGGCCCAGCTCCTGTCGCCAGTACTAGATTACCTCCAAAACGTCCCTAATTCTTTTTGGTGAAAGTGGCCAGTTACCAAACAGCCTTTTCTGCCCTGGGATTTTAGCCATAGGTGGAGCAGCAGCACTGCACACCCCTGGCATAGATACCCCAGCGCAGTGTGGTTTGCAGGGGTGCAGAGCCCCCTGGTTTGCACAGGTGGAGATTGTGGCGTCTCTCTGCTTACCCCGGCTTTGCATTTGTGCAGCAGTTGAGGTGACTGTGTCTGGGTCGAATCCTCAGTACAGACCAGGCCTAAAAAGGGTCATTTTATTTTTTTCAAGAGTGGACAAAAATCCCGTTTGCTCCCGAGCGTTCCTGCCCTGGGGCGTGAAGCAGGTGCAGCTCTGCCACGCTTCCCGGCGGGTAGAGGGCTCAGCTTTCTCACTCCTTCTCTCCTCTCCTCTCCTCCCTCCAGCACAAGCCCTGGCTGCTGTGAACGCTGTGAAGTTCCACGGAGCCACGTTTTAACACACAAACATGCGCGTCCCGAGTAGACAACCAAACCTTTCCTCGCTCATCGCTTTCGGTTCTCCCCGAACCCCTGCCACTAACCAACGGTGAGATCGTCCAGGACGAAGATGCTGTGCGTCGGCACCTGTCGCCAAGGAGAACACGGGAGCCTTATCTCTGCACCGGTCCCCCCAACTGGCCGTGTACCATCCCAGGAGGAAGTGCCGTGGGTGGGCTGCCTGCTGGAGCACAGAGTGGCAGAGAGGCGCTGGTAAATCACTGCTACTACAATGATGGACGTTTTGCGTGAGATCTGTTGCAGTCTGGGAGATGGGCCCACTCCACAGCCGGCGTGAACTTCAGGGCAGGGGATCTGGCAGCTACCCACCAGGCTGTTCCATGGCCGGAATATCTCATCGAGGGGATGGTGTCTCACTGGAGGCTGGGGCGTTTCCCTTTGCTTCCCGCACTGAAATATTTGTCTCCCAAAGCTCGTGTCCCGAAGGGGCTTTTGCACGGGGACCGAGCCGTCGCTGCAGTTGGAGCTTGCTCTTGCCCTCCACTGACGTGAGCACCCCATCTCCATTCTCCACACCCCTTCCACCTCCCCAGGCCTTGGCCTGGATCGGCTACTAGCATCTTTCATCTCTGGAGCTAGCCACCCGGGAAACCTGGCCCAGCCACGTTTCTCCACTCACGCTCATGCGCATCCACGGGAAGGAAGGAGCGGGCATCTGGGATGGACAGATGGAAACAGGAGCCAAGGAAGGAAAAGGCTCCTGGGCAGAAAATGGGAGAGGTTATGGGATCTGCAAAATTAAGAGGACATGGCTGTATCTGTGAAATACTAGTGTTTCACCTCCCAGGGCGAAGGGTGGTGTGGAACAGCAGGTCTGTGCAATGTATGTGGACATGTAGTAAGGGAATTAGCTGAAAGATACAGGGGGACGGGGTTAGGAGAGCCCAAGTGGCTGGTGTTGGTGACCAGGCGAAGCCTGGATGCTTTCTGGGGACAGGAGGGATCCGTTTGCACATAGAGACGACAAGAAGAAAGGGAGACAGGCTTCGGGATATTTTATTCTCTTGGACCAGAGCAGGTTCTGGATGGTAGCAACAGGTGCCCTTCCGCAGAGTTTTGTTTTACCCAGCGCAATGCTCATTTCTTGCATTTTTATGGGGATGGGAGTGGGGTGAACGACACACACACACACACACACGCGCGCGCGCGCTCTCTCTCGCTCTCCAATCGGGGGCTGCTGCCCAGATACTTAATACTAGATTGAGCAAAACGCTGGAGAAGTGGCTGAGGGAACAGCAGTCTCTCGCTGTCCGTGGCATTTCTTGGGCATCTTATCACCTTGGATCTGAGTGCCCCATCTAACTCTTGATATCTAGTCCTGAATGGCCTTGAGTGGACCTAGAGGGGCATTTCCTGCAGTGTCTTGGCAGGTACCATGTTGATGCTGTCACTGTCTCTTGCCTCCATCTGGAAAGCACTGCCTTGCCCCCAAAATGGAGGGGACACCAGAGCTGTGAGGCCCAAGGGACTAGGAGCATAGCTGGGAGGGGATCTAATCCCTTCTGCTTTCAGGCTAGAAGCCAACTTCTTATGGATGGGACAAGGGAGAAGCTTCCCCACGGACAGGTGATTCCATAATTGCCCACTGCAGGGTTCTTGCACCTTTCTCTGAGCAGCTGCTACTGGAGACATGGGCTACTGCACTGGATGGCCTCCTGGTCTGGCAATCCCTGCATAGAGAACAATCCTGTGCTGGCCTTTGGGAAAGGGACTAGATACCCATCTCTAACTTCTATGGTTCCCTGCTATGTTTGCATGTGGAACGGCACGCAGGCAACTGACACTCGTAACTCACTGCACTGAGACACGCATACCCTGGAAATTCTTTTCTCCTGAAGAACAGAGAGCTAGACTAGTTCCTCTGCCGTTTTGGAATAACTGAGATCAGGTGTGCATGGTGCTGAGTCACTGCTACACCGTCTCCGTTCCTGCAGTACCTTATGAGATGAGCCTGCTCTTCCAGATGTGTCTTCATTGTTTCCCCCCAATACATTGAGAGAATCATCATCTCGGGGGGACATATCAGGGGTGATGGAAGAGATCTAGTTCAGAGAAGCATCCAAGAGGTTGGCTGCTCTTCTGAAGCTTGTCAGAACTACCTGAACCATCGGGGTCTGCAGAATCTAGCATTATTTCAGCACTGCTGCTTCCCAATGGAAACTCATAAGTGAGAAGGTCCATCTAGACCTCAGCTCAGTTCAAGCAATGGTTTGGAGGATGGAGGTTTCTTCTATCTGTCCAAGTTAGTTTCCTTGTCCCTTCTCAAAATTAGGGCTGCATGCAAATGCAAATGTATTTTCCACCACGCAGTGGATTTGCAAGTGCTCAGCTCCCATTTAGGTACTTAAACATGGGCAAGATTTTTAAAAGTGCCCACACCCGGCAGCTCCCGCTGTGATATTGATGGGCAGATTTTCCAAACAGCACTGAAAATCTGGCCACTTATTTTGGTGCCTAAGTGGGAGATGAATTCTTTTGGAAATTGGACCCTGTGTTTCACAAAAAATACTTGCAATTTCATTCCAGACCCCCTTTTTTGGGGGGGGGGAGGGGAATCCCAGCAATATTATTTTCCTTGAATTCTCAGTGAAATTGACAGGTTTTGTATTGAAACCTGAAAATCTATTTAATTTTTTTGCTAGAATGGAATTTTAAAATTCCCAAATCTGGAATTGAAGCCTACGCTCAAAATTAAGACCAATCTGGGTTGAATATGGGCTTGCTTTTTCATTCCAAAATCTACTTTTTCAAGTGCAAAGTTGTGAAATGTTGCTGGCTGCATGCAAAATGATCTGGTGTAACGAAACTGACCTGAAATAGGAAAGCCTCAAGTGTCGAGCTTTCCCAGTGTTGCTGTGAATATTATCTGAGCTCCTCTGTCAAGAACCCCTCTTCCTATGGACTTTCCAGTACAGTTAGATGCCCTGTTCTAACATCAGACAGTATTGGACTTCTGCACCTTTACTACACTGCTCTTACCTCCACTGGTGCAAATCAGGATTAACTCAAATGAAGACAAAATAAATTCAGAGCAGAGTGTAGGAGTGGACAATCAAGCTCTGTACCTTATACTAGAGACTGGGGCTCTGTCAATTCACTACATGGAGGAAGAACTGTTTTGTCCCAGCACTTGAAACTCCAGATGATAGTTCTGAAAAAGGCAACGCAATGGAGATGCGCAATCAAGCTCAATCTATTTTTTAGCTTTCTTTCTCCATTGGCCTGATCCTGATTGCATCTGAGAACTCACATCTCCAGCTGAAATATAGAGACGGTGCAAATGCTCAGCACCTAACAAGATTTCTGCTTCTTCCCAGCCATGCCACCAGTTGAGTGAAATGGGAGCTAGCTGGCTGCCTGCCTGCTGTAGCCTGTGAATCAATTTTTCTTTCTAGTTTGGCAATACACATAAAATCCAAGGAAACAGAACCTCTCTGCCTAATGGATCTATCTAGCATCTCCCTAGATTATCTGTCTACTTTTAATTTTGGCAATACACAAAACATCCCAGGAGACAGAACTTTCCCCAGAATCAGATCTATGAATCAATCTTTCTTCCTTTCTTTTAGCAATACATATAACATCCCTGGGGGATAAAATAGCCCTGCTCCCATAATGGAATCCCAAACAGCCCCTGTTCGCTCATAAAGCTGGCCCTTTATTTTGCTATACATGCCTTAATATATGTTTTATGGAAATTATACATTTATATAATATATATATATATTTGTTTTTCTCTCCTTTTCCGGGTGGTACTGTTTTGTGCTAACTTTCTCTCTCTCTCTCTTTCTCTTTCTGCTGGGCTCTTGGCATCAGCCCCGCCAGAGAGTTATAAAAGGAGATTCTTTGCCAGTTCATCAGAAAAAAAAAAAAAGACCTATTTAAATATACATATATATATTTTCTGCTTTTATTAAAAGCAAATTTATTTAAAATAAAATATAAAAACTGTAAGTTTTGAGAAATGATGCATTTATTTCCCTGTTACTGAATAGGTAGCACTCTGTATATGACCAGGTCCTCAGCTGGTGTAAATTGGGATCGTTCTGAAGTCATTAGAGCGAGGCTGATTTGCATATGCTGAAAAGCTGGTCGTCTAGGCACAGTATATGAAGACATATAGGACTGTACCGTATTGGGGATTGCAGAGGATGTCTTGCTGGTACGCAGCTGTCAGTCATGGATCCTTGTGACTGTATGTGGGATTTTTAATCTTGAGTTTCAATGTTACATTTTTACCTCCCTTTTGTTTTTGTGAATGGTTTCTCTGTGATGGTGTGACTAGTGCAGAGGGCTGCCTATCAGTAGCCCAGCTGCTAACCTCACCAATACACCCGAAGTGTATACGCCAGGGCATAAGCCCAGGGAGGATGGTCTCTGCATGGTGGATGTGCCTTTCTTTGCTGTGAATGTGCCCCCAGATGTAAAAGGGGGTGGCTGAACTGCGAAAAATGCAGCCAAGCTAGGAGAACCCCCAGGACCAAACTGGGGTGCAGGAGCTGAGCAGAGGCAGGAGAGAGGTTGGACGGTCAGGAGGATTGTTTCTAGCGGCCCAATTGAAAACCCACCAACATCAATGGAAAGACACTCACTGACATTAGTGGCCTTTGCATCATGGATGGAACCAAGAGACAACTTGGAGTTCCCACCAGAGTGTCAGCCCCGCAATGGGCTCCCCCTTGACTCTCCAGTCAGTCCAGTCTCCCATCATGAACAGGGCTCTCCTGCATCTCAGCTCCGACAACACAGTTCCTAGGGGAGGGTACATTTAAGGGAAGGGGTGGGGGAGCAAGGCAACCCCACTGGTAAGCACCCTTGAAAGGCCTAGGGATTCCCACGAAGGACACAGGGAGCTCCTAAAAAGAACCTTCCTGGCATTAAGGCACGACCTAGTAGATGTAGAGGGGACAGCGAGGAAACCTCCCCACTATGCGAATAACAACGTAGTGTCTGTGACCAATCCCTGCTACTGTCACTTTAAGAGTTTCCAAAGTTACAAGCTGTGAGCTCTCAGTGGCGTGGCTGAGGATCACAATATTACAGTATTGTGGAACTGTGGTTTTTAATTATTTTAATTTTATTTTGGTTATTTTTCATAACACCTTCATATACCAGCGACTCTTGTAAAAAAAAAAAAAAAAAAAAAACTACAAAAAAAAAAAATCTATTTATGCACATTATTTTTTGGGGGGGTGGGAGGAGTGGCAAAAATTAGATTTTTGCTAGTGTTAGACAAATAAAATTATCCAAGAAACAATGTGATGTTGCTGTCTTTCTTTCTGTATAAAAGTGACCTTAGATGACAACTACTATAACATTAGATCGAAGAGACCATGGTCAAATGGCTGTCGCGTTTCAGCAGCTTGAATTCTTCACCCCAATCTTCCCAGTAATTAAATCAGTGGTAGTTTGCTTTGTATTTTTCCCAACAGCATTTGTTTTAGATGTAGCTACTTAAAAGATCCAATCTCACACAAGGGAAAAAATGCATTTGTACCTTGCAAGTTTGTATAAAATAAAAATTGCTGGTTTGTAAATAGATCATTTGTTGAGCTTGTCCTTCTTGCGACTAGAGCTAGGGGACGGACATGCTTGGACATATTTAGGGGACCAATTTTCAGAGGTGCTGCAGCTTCCGTTGATGTTAACTTGAGTTGTGGGTCCTTTATTATCATTGGAACGGATCATAATTTCTGTTGTAAGACCTTGTTTGAGTTGCTTATAGCTTTGCCGATCTAACTATTCAGGCTGAAATTTTTCATGATGACTGTCTACCCCAAGCTGATTTTTTTTTTTTTAAAGTTTCAGCTTAAATAGTTTGGCCATTTCAAGGAATGAGGCTAGGGGGGAATACATTGCTTTGCCAATGTTTTTAAAAAAAAAATCGTACCTGCTTTCATTGAGTAGCTCTAGTACTACCATACTTTCAACGAAGGAGTTGAAATTTGGGGTGCGGGTCGCCCTGGAGCAGGGGATGCGTCTTTTACCATCCATGTAAAAATTCACCCAAATTTGGCCAGGTTATGAGCCTCTGAAAATCTCAGTTCACACATGCTCAGTGGAGATAGAGATATGTTGGAGTTTGGCAGCTTAAATTCTCCAAAATCTCCAAAGAGGGGCCCTATGGAAAAAATAGTATGTGACCATGTAATTGAAGACTGTATCACAGTGTTCTACACCCACTCAGCTGCACTGCCCTCTGGGATAGCAATCCTAGAGTTCCATGTACACAGCTCAGTAGCAATGCCGTCTGAGTGATTTTGAAGGACCTTGTGGGAATCCAGATGGGCACCCGAGGGAACTGTGGGAGGAGAGGCCAAACTCCCACCATCCTCTGTGGAAACTCCAGAGTGACTCCCACAAGTCCCTTGGCTCCAGCATCATTTCCAACGAGGGAAACTCAAGCAGGGGACTTCCAACTCCGCAGCCCACGAGAGGCTTGGTAATGAAAAAGTGAGTATGCAATCCATGGCTTAATGGGGATTCTTGAAGGGTAAGTGCTAACTATAGGCTCAGTGGGGAGCAAATCCATGCTCATCGGGATGCTCTGAGGGTACAACCCAACTCCAGAAAGCAGTGGGGTGGGACGGGACTGCTCAGTGTGAGGACATGGGGCAGAAATAGACCTATGGAGGGACAATTGTGAACAGCGAATGCGTCTGAGCATTTCCCAACCTCCTTGCGAATGTTTTGCAGACAGGAAAAGAGACCAATTGCTGATGAATAATTAATTTCTCACAAACTATCCCTCCTACATGTGATGGCTGGAGCCCATGTCTGGTGAATCAGGTGTAATGCTCGTAGGAGCACGCTCCCTGTATCAGACAGATGCAACGGATGTGCCGGGCTGTGTACTTAGCCTTGCACAATAAAGATTCTCCACTTGCCATTCAAACGGGGGTTGCATGTGGAATGAGCGCGCTCTGTTCTGGAGCAAGGCTGTGCAGTAGAAAAGAGAATCCTGCCACGGCTGAGGCAAGGGGGAAGGTTTAACCCAGCGGGATGTGTGCATGTGGTAGACGTTGCTGCTCCTTGGATAGGTAGCAGATCAGGGCTTGGCCATGGGGTAGTTTTCCGGTGGAGAAGAAATTAGCCGCACGACTGAGCGGGAGAATTAGAGGCAGCAAAGCTTATGTGGCTCAGAAGCCCAAGCACGGTCCCGGAGAAGCCCCATTGGACACTATTTCTAAACGTTCACGGACCAGCAACTATTAAGAAACAAAGACCAAGCTGGGTGGCACTGCTCAGCACTTCAGGTGATCAAAGCATGTTGCAAGCTTTCATCGAGCCAGGGCGGGACAGGTGAGTGTCAGCTCTCTGGGGCAGGGGCTGTCTTTTTGTTCGGTTTGTACAGCGCCTAGCATAGTGGGGTCCTACTCCATGACTGGGGCTCCTAGGTGCTAATAACAATACAAAGCAAGGGAGACTCCGGCCTTGTGAATTCTCTTCTTTCATCCTCATTTACAATGGTGTAGGTCAGATTTGAATCAGGCCCTTGATAGGCAGGAATGGGCCATTCATAGAGATCTCTGGGCAGTAGGAACAACAGAGAGGGGCAATACAGAACTCTGCTCTCCCAGGTAACAGCGATGGCAGAATCCCCAGGGGTACTTTATGCAGAAGAAGCTCCAGGTAAGGGACTACAGGCCTGTGCTGGTTTCAGAGAGGGAACCTAGCGGTGATGAGCACCACATTAGCAGCTGTGCCTTTTAAGGTTATTGCCGCTGCTGTGGAGTTAATGATTTGCGGGATGACGAGGTAGGGATTAAAGACCTTTCCAAGGGTCACTGGTTGGGAGCTCGTGGAAGCTGTGGGTCCACCCCCCACCACACCCCGCTCCACACACACCTTGTTTCACGCCAGGCTTATGCCAGGGAAGATGGTGTCTCTCACGGAGTTTCAGAGTGAGTAAGGGACGCAGCCTCAGGGGGGTTGGTTGTTAACTCGTCAGTGATACTCCGTGAACCCGGGGAACAGCCTGTCTCAGAGCCTGGGGCTTATCTGCTCCGTCCGGTGTGCGATGCTGTGACTGCTGGAGCTCAGAGCCAAGTCTGGGCTGGAGCTGGAGGTTGCTCTGTGGCACCAGTCACAGCAGATCAGGGAGTGTCAGAGGCAGAGTGAACTACTGTCCTGCCCCTGCCCCTGCCCCAAGGGCCCTGAGTCTGGTACTGTCCCTGCAAACCCTGATGGGTGTTTGTCAACACCACAGAAACACCATTCCACAGAAGAGGGAAACGTGCATTTCACAGCTCTGCAGAACTCATAACTCACCACAACTGGCAGCGTCTGCTCAGATGAGATCTGGGTCTACAACGCCAAGGCAGGGGGAAGTAGATCAAGGGTGAGCTGGCAGTTCTTGAGGTTGGAGTGGGGGAGCCCAGGACTGGCATAGCAGTGGGCTGTGGGTCAGGATGGAGAGCCGCTGGCGGTGGGGAGCTCAGGACTGGAATAGTGGGGGGGAGGGGGCTATGGGGCATTGGCACAGCTGTGGGGTGTGTGGGGAGCTCAGGACTGGAATAGCAGAGGGGGGTTATGGGTGAGGGCCATTGGCAGAGCTGGGTGTGTGGGAGGTTTGCTGAGCGCTTGCCTTCCCTTCTCTCAGCACTGTTAGTGAGCGCCAAATCTCCCTGAAGAGGAAAATGAAGTGAGTAACTCATGCCCTGACACACACATAAGGTTTGCAGATGTGTCCTGGGTTTTCAGACCAGCTTCTCATTGCTCTAAACCCCTACGACATCCCATCCTTGGCTGCTGTTTGGCTGATAGATAAGTTGGAGAGCCCTGGGCCTGACCCAAAGCCCATTCAAGGCAATGGGAAGACTCTTAATGAGTCCAGAGCTTTGGCTCAGCTCCATTTTGAAGAAGGAGGAGATTAGGAGGTGATCCCTGCCACGTGGAAACCACTTCACAGGTTTTCAGGAAATCGTTTTCCTGTTTTCCAGCTGGCTTAACATCAGACTGTCTCTTTCTCCCTAGATACATATAGGGAGAGAGGCGCTCTGAGGCCAGGGTGATGGGTGAGCTCTCAAAAACCTACCGTAGATAGAAATTGTCTTGACGGGTTTCTAAATATTTGACGCAACCCACAAATTAACCTTCCTTGCTGAGGTGGCGATGCAACGAGGAACCACGGAGTGGATTTGGTGACCGAAGCTGGCACCATCCAACACTTCCTTGGTAGCAATACGTTGTCCTCTGGCTGCTGCGCTCCTAATCGCTGACCCTCCATCTGTTGCAGAGATCGGCGTCGGTCTTGTGGGCTTTGGCCTATTTTTCATCTTTTTTGGGGTGCTCTTGTACTTTGACTCAGTGCTGCTGGCCTTTGGAAACGTGAGTACCTCAAAACCTTGGCCCCCTTCCTTGCCCTTCCTGAGGGCAAAATATAGCACTGGGACAGGGGCCCAGACACGACAACCCCGCTGCAACCAGTCACAGCTCCCATGGTGGAACGTGCCAGCCCTTTGGCCCTGTACAGGTTCCTATTATGAGAGAAACGGGGCTAGTCTCTGTTCAAATCCTGCTCGGGTTGGTGTGGAATAAATTTTCTGCATTTCAGTCCAGCTGTGATGGTGTCCCCATCCTTAATCTCACCACAACTGGTGCTAACTGATCCCCTTGTAGGCAACCTCGAAAGAGAAGCCAAGAATCAAATCACATGGAGACTAAACTACTATCTCCCTACTGGAGATAGTCCTTCCCAATCAGGGTTGAGACACACAGTGTGGGGGACCCTTGTATGGTGCAGCCCATACTTGTGTGGGGTAAATAGAGCATTTCAGTCTCCAGGGAAGTCAGCCCAGCACCTCTCCTCCCAGGCACTAAAGTCCTTCTAAAAGTTGTCTTGAATTTACAAATAAAAAGAACAAAGGGCTTGTCTACACATGGAAGTTCAGTCAGATTCAGATAGGGTGTAAATTTAAAGTGGATTATCTATTCCTGATTAACTCCAGGGGTGGATGCTTTTATTCCAAAGTAGTTTAATCCATTTCCAGAGTGGATTCAGAATAAGGCATCTTACTCCGGGATAAGAGCATTCGCGCATGGCGTTAATTAGGAAGAGTTAATCCAGAATAGCTATTCTGGAATAACTCTCCATATAGATGAGCCCTGTAACATGAACACATTTTCATTCTCATGAAATATCAGAGATGTTTCCTTCTAACACCAAGGGAATCAGCTGGCATCAGAATTCTACCCCAGTCAGTGCATTTCTAGTGGGGTTCTACTAGTGAAACTATAACTACAGTGGGGATAATGATACTGACCTCCTTTGATATCTACTAATGAGAAGTGCTGTGTAAGACCTAGGTATTGTTATAACTGAGAGCAGAATTTAGCCCTTCATTCTCTTATCTACTGCATTTCTGTTGCCTGGGACTTAGGCAAGAAATGCAAGCCTGTTTCCTTACTGCATTATTACATTGGCTTATATGCATTGTCCTTTATAACGGTTACATGGATTGCAAAAGCAGGCAAGTAGGATGCTGCGTTAGCGTGATGGATGGTGCCCAGGTGAGGGGAGAGGGGGATGCCCGTGTCAGCAGATGGGATAGACGAGGGTTCTCTTTGATCACACGGGAAGGAGGAGCTAGAGTTGGCGCCCGATCGGGAATGAATGAAGGGAATGTGTAGACCTTCTCTCCTCTAACAAGTCCTGTGCGACTCCATTTCCTCCGCTTAGCTCCTGTTCCTTTCTGGCTTGGCCATTATCATCGGACTGAGAAGGACTTTCAACTTCTTCTTCCAGAAGGAAAAGCTAAAGGGCACCAGTTTCTTCCTGGGAGGCATTCTCATTGTGCTCCTGAGACAGCCTCTTCTGGGCATGTTGCTAGAGATCTATGGCTTCATCACCCTCTTCAGGTGACTTGTTCGCTACATGCCTTTAGTTTTGGCCTTTGCCGATAGCTTTGCTAGGGTAATTGGCAAAACTCCATAGGTGTAGAGCATTGTGGGTACAAGAGGCTATCTAGGAAACCCCATTCTCATTCCCCTAAGGAATTCCTTAGCAAGCATCCAAAGCTCCCCAGAAAGCCACACAAAAGTCACAGGATCAACTCCCCTGTTGTTTGCAAGGCATTGATTTCAAACACTGTCAGCCAGAAGAGATCCTGCCAGGCCCCAAATCCGTACCAAATCCACATGGCCGTTTGTGTGCTGGCAACAATCTGGCAATCAGCTGGGTGGACAATATTTCCCAGCTAGTGAAAGCTCACAGGAACTTTTTAGACCTGGGTTTATTTTACCCAGTTATAGATCCTAGGGAAAGTCCTTCCTTGACCCTAAATCAGACCACTCCCTTCCCCAGCTTCCACTCATTGATTAACAATGATCTTTGTTTTGCTCCAGGAATTTTTTCCCAGTAGTCTTTGGATTTCTGGGAGCTTTGGGAAATATTCCACTGCTGAGCAAGGTAAGCAAGGCTTTGGGGTTGGGTTTCATGCAGAGTCAGAGGGCTTTGGTTTTGCAAGGTACTGGCGGAAGATCCCAGTAAGGATACTGGACCAAATTCTGAGCTGGTGTAAATCGACAGATCTTTATTGACATTTCCAAAGCTTCACAGATTTACACCCGCTGAGAATTTGGCCCATTCTCCTCTCACACTGGCTTCACATCTCACGTAACTTAATTGATTTCAAATGAGTCACTCCCGATTTACACAGGTGAAAGGGAGAGGAAAATCTGGTCGAAAGAGGCAGTTAAATTTCTGCCCTCAGTTACGCTTGAATTGTTTGAATGTCTGCGTCTCACAGCCATAATTTAACACAGACCTGACCAAGTGCAAGTTTTTAAGAGTTGGGATTTAAAAAAGTCTTCAGATTTGATGTTCCTTCTCATCCGATGTTAATTCTTCCAGAACGTCTCTTTTGCTCCTGCTCTTCTGCTGTTAGCTGATCTTCCGTCTTCTGTAATGATGCTTCCTAAGTACACCTCTACCCCGATATAACGTTGTCCTTGGGAGCCAAAAAATCTTACCGCGTTATAGGTGAAACCGTGTTATGTCGAACTTGCTTTGATCCACCGGAGCGCGCAGCCCTGGCCCCCCGGAGCACTGCTTTACTGCGTTATATCCGAATTCGTTTTATATCGGGTCGTGTTATATCGGGGTAGAGGTGTAGCAGTGATTTCTCACATGTCGTACAGCTGTGTCACTCGCTGGAATCTTGTGTGTTTTCCCAGGATCCTTGCATACCACCATCGTTTTTGTCTTGTCCACATTCAACGCTAGACTCTCACTGATATTAGAATTGGTCAAAAAACTGTGAAAAATATTGGCACAATTTTTGTTGAAATTTCACCAGTGTGAACATTTTTGATCAGCACTAATTCATAGGCAGCAATGTGTATCTGTTCACTAGAGGTCTGGACTGTATCTTCTGTATAGAAAAAAGTCTTAAGCTGTGAATACAGAGTTGCTGAGGAGACGGATTGTACTCAATAGCAAATAGCATCAGGACTTCAACTGGTCATCCCTTGTTACAATGCCAACCACTGTCCTGGGGCAAGTCTGGGAGAGACCGACACTATCCTGGACAAACATTATTGAATTAAGTTTAAAACCTTTGTGGTCCATTTATTCAAAATGCAGTTGTGTCTGGATTATTGTGGGATTGTACGTAACTTCTCTAGAAACCTGACCAATTAAATCTCTGAAAGTATTAGGAACTTCAAAGGGCTTTGGGGACAATCTCTGTGATGTGACTATCCTGGAAAGTACTTGGGAGGAGGGAAATGCAAATTCTCCCCTGTGAAACCAGCCTTTTGAAGCTATGCCCTGGGGAGCGAGACCCCCTGTCTACTGGTTACTTGCTCCTGGAAACTCCAGATCAAAGACCCTTGAACTGTATAACAGATGGACTAAACTTTACCTGAATGGGCTAGTTCTGAGCTGAGGCTGTTATGTACTTGTGACCATAGAGGGTTTTTGAAGGACCATAGAGGTGACCTTTTATGGGGTTTTGAAGGACAAATTAGCTACCACAGCCCATGGCGGAGTTGGGGTGATCGCTGGGAAGCTTTTTAGCATGTATGTAGGTTCCTTTATTGTTTTTAATACATTTTCTCTGTAATGGTTTCATCTTAAGGATAAATCCACTTGCATCACAAGAGCTGTGTGGTAGCTTACCTGTGGGCAGATACACTGTTCTAATGTCTGAAGAGGAAGCAAGGAGGTCTGCTTAAGCAGTTTGTCCTTTGCTGGGAATAGCACAGTGAAGGCAGGGAACTGTTCAGCCTGGGAATACCTCTGTCAGAAGCGGGAGAGACGCGGGGCTCCATCCAAGAAAGACAACAAGCTGGGAAGCCAGAAGCCTGCCCGTGGGTGCCCTTGCTGAACCTCTAAGGGAAATACAGGCGCAGTTGTGCTGAACAGCAAGTGTCACCATTATGTTCAACTGGAGTTTACTACCACTGCTAATGAATTGTCATTGTTGCAGCTATTCCAGAAACTAGGAGACACCAGCTCCTTGGTATGACCTGGAAGAGTTTCCAACAGCTAGTGGAGATAACGTCACCTGCTTTAGACACCCGGATCCGTGGGCAGCCGGCTCTCATTGCACAGACACTAATCTGCGGTCTCTCCAAGCCAAGAGCCACCTGGACTGGACATGCTCTTTTATTGTGTGAAGGAAGCCGCTTGGAGCCAACAGATCCTGCTACCAATTAACCCAAAAATCCAAGCCTTGCTATCAGATTGCTCCCAATCGGAGAGATCTGGCTGAGATTCTCACCTTCCCATGAGCTACACTGGAATGAATGAGTTTCCCAAGCCAGATGGTTGTGCAAGTTGTTGATTTAGTCTTTTGTCATGTCCTCATGAGAGTGAAATTGTATGTGGATTAAAAAGCATGTCTGAGATAATATTGCATCCCAGTCCCATTAGAGCAGTGGTTCCCAAACTTTAACAACCTGTGGACCCTTTTCACTAAAATGTCAAGTCTCACAAACCCCCTCCTAAAAATGAATATTTCCAGGGATTTTCTCCTTTACCTGAGTATAAATTATAAAAGCAGTGATCTTGGAAATATCAAATTTGTTTTTATGACATGCTTATTACGCATTATTTATTATTAATTATTATTGATCGTTATAGTATTTTTATTACATTATGAAAACAGCAACACTCTTCCAAGATCTCACTTTCATAGCTTGTATCACTTTGAATAAGCCTGTTATAAGACAAGGCTCCTATGTTTCATCAAGGAGTATCAGATGTGAAAGCATGAAGGGATTTAAGAAGCCAACTCAAAGAGTTCTTCCTACACAAGCATTCAGGTCTTGAGCAGTCCAGGCAAACAACGCACGTTACAACAAAGCTGAAACTTGCTCTTCATAATAATTTTAAAAACAATACTAGCTGCCTATTTCATTTTAAAAACAGCAAAAACTATCCACCTCCCTTTCCATTTCGTATAAGGAGTCTTGAAGTTTAACTCTTCTCAGTGTGATAGATCTGCTTGCTTTGATCTGCTTAGTTCTTGGAAGTCCAGGGGCTCCGGGCTGCTGGCCCTGTGCTGCCCAGGGTCCCTAGGGACAGCTCTATCCGCCATTAGGGAATTTTTTCCCGAGAACCCCCTGTAACATTTCGTGAACCACTGCATTAGAGGGACATGCTGCTGTTGACACATTGTTCAGAGCGTGTAGTACGTCCCCATTCTGATGGCTGCTCCATACAGGATAGGAGCCTGCTATAGCTAGGAGGGAGAGGAGTTATTCCTTTAGCTCAAGTTAGCTAGATCAAAACTAGTTCAAGTAGGTCTACACATGCTGCAGTCATACCTCCCGATCACAGTGTAGACATACCTTGTATGAGTAGCTCTCAGGAATCATTCTGGACAAAATACCTTATTACAAGCTCTTCTTGTCCTTTTTAAAGGGGGGGTTGTTTGTTTTTTTCCTGGAGAGGGTCGGGAAGAGCTAGGAAACAGGCTTTCCCCTTGAAGGGCTCTGACAGAAACAAAAATGAATCAGGGAACTTGGAAAGAAGCTGCCAGATTTCAATGGGTGTTTAGCACAAAGCTAAAAACAAAGTCGTGTCTGATGCCTCCATGGTGAGATGGGAAGCGACGCAGAGTGTCTAGGGAGCATGGAGTCCTACAAGGCCAATGAGCATCTCAGACCTGTCTGATTCCTTTTAATCCTGGTTTTGTAATATTTTAAAAATCACTAAGCAGCAGGTGCTAAAACTGCAGTGACTTCACTAATATTCCTCTCCGGTCTCTGCGTCTTAGCCGTGAAACAGTGAGCTGCGTTCTCTGGCCGAGCAATCCAATTGTTTGTGTTGTGCCTTTTGTACAAGCTCAAGGTGCCTTTCTGAACTGGAGTTTGCTCCCATCCAAGTCCGCGGCAAAAGTCCCTCATCACATTAAACTGCAGGATCAGGCCCTGAAAGGGCATTGCAGCATTCAGTACGAAATAAGGTGAAGTCCCATTCCCTGGGCCAACCCACTGATGGCGCCAGCCCCTTGAGGCCGGATTCTGCACCCCACTGCAGCACGTTGGGGAATTCTCCCAGTGCAGGAGCGACATAGCTTAGGGGCGCGGCGAAAGGGGGAATGACCAGAGTGCTCTGTGCTCCGTCTCTTCTGGGCTGCAGAACCGCCAACAGGCAGCCATGCAAGGAGGCCTTAAAGGCTGAGGGCTGCTCTAACTTATTGCAGAGGTCATGTGCGCCTCTGGAGCAGCCTAGGATCTGGGAGGTACAAAGAGGTCATAAAGCTCCCCTGCAGCTCCCCCTGCCTGGACTGCTCTTCCCAAGAGGCATGGCCCGGAATCTGCCCCTTAGAATGCCGCCGCTCTGAGAGAGGGCAGGGGAGGTTATGAAAACTCCTGTTAAGCCCCATTAACATTTCATGACCTGATCCAGGGAGAGTAAATTACCCTTTTCGTGTGCAATGGCCATGAGAAACCAAATGATATTTGGGGCCATTAATTAATAAAGAGCTGCAGAGGGGTAAGCAGGTGGTTGCGGGGGAGAGCACAGCAATAGACCGATGATTACTTCCGATAATTATCTCTCGTTTTTTAAAGACCATTCTGCTGCCAAACAGGAGAAAATTGAGCGAGGAGGAATGTACTGTATTGGAAGCCCAGATGCCAAGCAGATAGCTCATGGCTGATCTATTGAGAAGTAGGGCATGTTCTTTTCAGTCTACCGCTGGCTGCAGGAGCGTGAGCTGCCTTTGCTATGATTAAGCACTAAAGGACTTCAGAAACAATGGGGCCTCTCCGGAGCCCTCATCGAAGCTGGAGGCCACGGATCTGGCTGAGGACACTCGGGGAAGCAGGAGGAGTGAACCCATCCTGTCTTGTATGAGGCAGGTTCCGCAAACAGTGATGCAACAATGCTGCATGGGGAAAAGGACAGGCAGAGCGCTAAGCTGCTGCCGGAACAAGGCCATATCCACAGCTGCTGTAATTCTGCACGGATCCGTTGGAAGTCAATGGAGCGATGCCGACATACAACAGCTGAGAATCTGGCCATGTTACCTTGCATTATAACACACCTATGATCACAAGATCACTTCCTTGGCTGAATGTTCTGACCGCTGGCTTTGGGCTCAGCCTTGTCTTTCCTAAAGCCCTGGCCTGGCTTCCTGTTGGCTGTTCTGCAGCCCGAAAAGCTGGAGCACTGAGCACTCTGGTCATTCCCCCTCCCATCCTGTTCTTATGCAAAGGGCTGCACAAGCCTTGTGTTGCACCAGCACGGGGGGTGGGGGGGAATTGCACGAGGCACTGTGGTGGGGGCCAGCAGGGTACAAAGTGGATGGTCATGAGCTAGGAAGCTGTTTGCTTCCAGCACCCCCAGGTCGAGCCCAGCCTGGTTGCATGGGGACAGAAAGCAGCTACATGTCAGACCACTGTTTGGTGGCCCCTGTGCGGAATGAGTGTGTTGGGTCTCAGCCCAGTTCCCGCTGGGCGGGCATCTCCATCACAAAAAATAGCAACCCTAGGGCTCTCTCAGCAAAGAGGCAGCTGAATATTGAAGCGAACAGGGGGACTTAACAGCCCTCTTTTGGCAAGGTGCCATGGAGGACCGAAGGAGCAGGCACTCTCCCATCTCTTGCTCTGGAGGGCGCATTCTTACCTACCCTAGCTCTAAGGAGGCCACCAAGCCAGTCCTGCTGACCCCCTTCCTGCAGGTGACAGTCACATCAACTTGTCCTGTGATTGGCAAGAGCAGGGCACACAGAGGTGGGCAACTCTCACTCCCTGGCCAGAGCCAAAACGGGTCCACTTGGCATCGCCTCTGTGCGGTGGGTCCCTCCTGAATCCCTCGTGCTCCACACCACTGACCCCCTGCAGCACTGACAGCAGCTTCACATCCAGGGTCAACTCCCGGGACTTGCCCCAGTAAGCCCTGTGTATGGGCTACTAGACTTGTCCCCCGCCCAGTGGCTAATGGAGCAGCACGCCTCTGTGGTTCTACAGCTGTGCAATATCTCTATGCAGCTAGTTAGCTGCTGAATTCCTCCAGGGCCATTCCCGGGGAAGCCTTGGGCATGGTGTGGTGGGAGCGTCCGGTTATGGGCAGCTCAGCTGCTTTCCTAGGGAGCCTCTCACTAGAGCTTGCTGTTCCCCCGAGTGCCCTGTTAAAAGACTCGTATTCATTAAGTGCATCTCCTTGAGAAAGAAGAACATGGACGAGGGACCTGGACTGACTCAACTCATTGTGATGCAGGCCCTCTGGCGACTGTCCTGGGGGTCGGCAGGCCATGGCGAATGGTATTGGTTTGTGGGAGCATATCGTTTAATAGCAAGGCCGTCCACAATGGTGCTTCTGCCTCCTTACTCGGAGGTCACTGGAGGTTCTTTGCTTTGCTTCTTGTGGCCTCGTTAGTGCTAAGGCCACTTCCGCCCTATTTTGAGGATTAAAGTGATGCCCAAGCGCTGTGCCAGCTCTCTGAACTGGTGAATTTTTTAGCCCATGTCTCTTTATCCCGTAGGTTTCTTTAAATAACAAGCTTTAGTTTGAAGGCTTTAGCTCCTGCCACTGCTGGCTGTAGCCGCGCTCTCTGGCTCCCAGGGGCTGTCCAGCTCTGAGAATAACATGGGGAGTGAAGCTGTTGGGGTGTTTTCCACCCAGCCGTGGTTTCGCTGCAGAATGCAGAAACTTTGCAAAGCAGAGTGAGTGAGCGTCGGCGCCTCTTCCGACTTGACACACGTTTGGGGAAGAAGGTTTTGAAATTGCTGGAACGGCCCGTTGTGACATTCTGCAAACCAGGACGTTATGCCAGCCAGGGCCGGCTCCAGGGTTTTGGCCGCCCCAAGCAGTCAAAAAGGAAAAAAAAAAAGCCGTGATTGCGATCTGCGGCGACAATTCGGTGGAAGGTCCTTCGCTCCAAGCGGGAGTGAGGGACCGTCCGCCGAATAGCTGGACGTGCCGCCCCTCTCCAGAGTGGCCGCCCCAAGCACCTGCTTGCCAGGCTGGTGCCTGGAGCCGGCCCTGATGCCAGCATAGCTACACTGGTATAGCCTCTGTAGTATAGATGTACCCTGAGTGAAAAGGAAAAGAATTT